GAAAAATGACTGAGGGAGAACTAAATTAAATTCTAAAGCATAGGTCTCCTATCGAGCCAAATAATACAAATAAAATGAAAGGGTGAACGATGTCTTTCCAATATGAATCAAAATGTACATGGTGATAATATATATAGAGAGCCTACAATCACGTTATGTATAGGGATGGGTATCGTTTGAAATGTATCGATTCCGATTCCGGTTCTGCTTATCGATTCCGGTTCTTATCGATTCCCCGTTTCGATTCCAAAATTGTAAAAGAAAGAGGTCAAACGTTTAGAGAACAAAAATATCTTTATTCTTTTAAGCTTTAACTGAAATTTTTACAAATAAAAAATATACATGCAATACAAATGTATTGCACAATAGCTGTGCTTTATTTTAACTGAGCTATGCCTGTGGCAAGCTATTAACAGGCATTACACTGTGCCCTGTCTTTTTCATTTTTTAGTGTAGTGGAGCCTCACTTTAGAGCGTTTACCGCGACCCATCTTTGGGGTTATGAAGTCACTGAGCAAGTGAACTGTCTACGGGAGGGCGGGGGGAACCTCGCTGCGGGGAAACTGTGGACCTCTGTCGCCGCAATTTACATGATGCCGTTTTAAAAAAATAAGGGCGGTGCCGGCTGTCAGTGTACCGAGCCGGCCGTCAACGGCCCGCTGACGACCGGCCGTTCTGTGATTCTCCAGAACACACAGATGGCCAGTCCGCCCTTACTCTGTATTCCACCGGGTCACCGCGGCACAGACGGACCCACGGCATAGACGGACCCGATGGAATACAGGGTCTACCGCGTTTAGGAACCGTTAAGCAGAACCAAAATGGTGTATTTTGTATGGGTACCCGGCATTTTCTTATCGGTTCTCATCTGGAACCGAGTTTCGGTTCCCAACCCTATAAATAACAGACCATTTGACCTCAAACCCTTATATCTGTTCAGCTTTATCTTTTGTGTGTGTGTGTGTGTGTGTGTGTGTGTGTGTGTGTGTGTGTGTGTGTGTTCTAAGACACTTAAGCAGAGGAGAGAAGCAGCGTGCACTTAAATGACACCAACACAAAGCAGTATATCGGTATTTCCTGTTCGTTCAGCTTACTGTACATTCACTTTTCAGGATCTGGTTCTGCAACTCTGGTTGTGTTTTCTGCGTCGTGGATATCACAGGGCCCTACTTTCCTTTAAAGGACAGATTACATAACATTTGAGCTGACAGCCAAGTGTCTTCATCATTTTCCTGTACCTCGATGCTCGGACCATAAACTTTTAAGATCACAGTAATCACTGCAGAGGTTATAGAATAAAGTGAATTCATGCTGCTTGTTTGTAAAAGTGTGCTCTACATTTACATACCACTGACTGTGTGTGTGTTTGTCTGTCCTACAGGCAGCAGTCAGGAGAAGGGGAAAAGAACGGCTCAGAGGAGGAAGATGAAGAAAAGCCTGGGAAAAGGGTGATGGGCCCACGGAAGAAGTTTGTCTGGGATGACAAGCTCAGGTAATGATTCATCACCGTGCTGCTGTAAGAGCTGGCTGGATGGCATGCTGCAGTTTGTGTGGCTGCAGGTTTGACTTAGCGTCTTTGATCGTTTTTCTTATAAGTTATAAGGCTATTCCTTACTTTTCTACCTTCCGTGCTTATCTCCAGTGTATGTGTCTGATCTAGCTAACTGAGCATAGGCTTTTAAGACTGTGTGGTTCGGATAGAGAAAACTAATACATTGTAGGTTTTGAAAATGAATGAATGACGTAAGGAAGATGGCCAAATAGTCATAAATAGTTTCAGCTGTGAGGAACTTTTAGGTTTATTTAGGTAAATAGTCCCTCAACATGCAGTGGGAAAACAGTTGGAGCCACAACTTAACACACATATGCAAAATGACTCAAGACCTGAAAACTGAGTTTGTGAAATATCAAATTCTCCTTTTAAATGTACTTATGAAAGCCTTGAATTGTATGCAGTCACTGGAACATTTTCACATACAAAGCCATGTTAGGGAAACTTCCATCCTACATCTGCTCCCTGATCTCACGGTGAATTGTAAGTGGCTACTGCCTGAGATCGCATGCTGTGGTTTTATTAAATGTGCCAACTGCTAGGACTGTCTTAGGGAAGAAAGCATTTAGATGTGCAGCTCCACTTTCTTGGAATAGTGTGCAAATTAAATGGAAACTGAGCAATCTGGTGCCACTAAATGTTTTTAAAGCTTGGTTGGATGCTACTCAATCGGATGCTGTTGGTACCTGTTCATGTCGATAGGTTTGTAAATTGTAATGATGTATGATGTCCTTTTTGTTGTTCTGTTTATGTTTTTATGTTTCATGTGGAACCTACTTGAGCAGGTCTCCCTTGAAAAAGAGATCAAGGGATACACCTGGATAAATAAAGTCTTGAAATGAAATGCTAGCACAAATGTAGAAACCCTGAGCAAATAATTAGTGTCCTTGTGAAATTACAAAAGCCCTGAGAAAGACTTAAAGCAGCTTTTCATTCCTCATTCATTTTTATAACAGCTTCCAAATGTTCAGCAATGGGTTTTACGAGTTCATAATTACCTCTGACTCCCTGAAGAATAGCAGTCTCCTCTGCCATTATGTGCTCAACACCTGCAGCCTTATTTAGGTTTGAATAGTGAATAATTGGCGTTGAAATGAGCCTTTGTGTTTGTGCAGGAACCTGCTGTGCAGCCTGGTGCGAGTGAAGCTGAGCTGCTACGAGATGGAGAACCAGTGCTCTCTGTCTGTGGAGGACTACCTCAAGGCCTTCTTAGAGAACGAGGTCAAACCACTATGGCCCAAGGGCTGGATGCAAGCCAGGTCCGTGTGTGTGTGTGTGTGTGTGTTCTTGTTTTTGTGCTTAGCTTTAATATGGGGAACACATTCCTTCATATTGATAAGACAGCTGTCAATTCTCCAGGACCCGACCAATGAAGTTAACCTCAATACTATAATTAAGTTTAAAAAAAACCATTAAAGATCAAAAAGGTTTGTGTTGGTGAGAAGGATGCCAACAGATGGAGCTGGCAGTTTATATATTTTCAGATGAGAGAATAATGAGGTTAGTCTGCTGGTGAGTTCATTGACATTTTCCATTGAACACAGGTTGTTATAAATAGCAGCCATTTGTTTTGCCTGAATGTAATCATGTCTTTATTTGTAAGCACATTAATCTACATTACACCGAATTCCACTGCGTAAACTAGAAGATATTTTAAAAGAGATGAAGTTACATGCAGGGGTGGATCTACGGNGAAAAAAAGCATTCAAGTTGTCCCTTAAGGTTGTTTTTTTATTTAAATTGGATATTCTATCCAACATGGATATAGCTTCTTTTTTTCACAGCAGCGTTGGATCAAAACAAAATAAAGCTTATCAGTACTCGTTAGCTTACTGCTACAATTAGACACTGCGCCACTCTGTTGCCAGATTTGAGAGAAATAAGCAGGTCTATGAAAACAAGCCCAAAAGAAGCAACACAAACATGATGTTGTGTAATTTGAAACCAAAACTAAGGCCTCAGGATGACTTTAAGAATTGAACATGGTCATTTTTGTTTTGTGACATTGAATAATAAAAAAAAAAAAAGTATTTATAAAAAAAAAAAAAAAAAAAAAATCCCGATCCCCAATTTTTTTCTCCCGATTCCGATATTTTGAAAATCACATGATTGGCTCCGATCCCCGATCACGTGATCGGATCGGGACATGTCTAGTTTTTATACAGGGGTCTTTGTTTCAGTAGAAATGGTAAAAGACCACCTTCCTCAAGTGACTCCCTGGTGTCTAATCCAGGCGTTAGGTCGAGTCCAGCTAAAGCCATCATAGCTCAGCGATGTTGTTACCAAAGCCCAGTTTTTTTTATTCCCCTCACGTCAAATGTATCATGTCAGCAGCATGGCTGATTTTGATATACGATTACATTTAGTGTTTAAAGAATGCAAGGCATGTGTCCATTAAGTTTTCAGTGATGTGCACAGTGTAATATATACTGTCAGGAATGTTTAATAAGCTAGCTAGGGAATGTTTTTAATGGCACAGCGTACACTGGCCCACCTGGCACGATTGAGGTCCATAGCAAACAGTAATGGCTTTGATGGCCTTTTGAACTGAGGCTTGATGCCGGGCTCTTTTAACCTCAAACCTCCTCCTGGGAACACTGGAGCACACTAAGCACAAAGTGCGTTTTGGCTGTTCTCTTGAAAAACTGATCCACTGCTGTAGTCAAGGAGCTGTGGATGAGGACAGGTTTACATTCACAGTTCTTTTTCTGAAGAGATTTATCTTTTTCCTTATAAAAACAACTGGAGCAGAGTCTTTTGTGGACAGTGAAACCGCTCAGTCAGTATCTGAAGGAACACTCATGTTTTCATTGTAAGAGATCTTCATAAATCTCACAGCTGTATCATTAAATGACTGGCACAGTTAGCTGCTATTCCTTTATCTATTACTTTATAGTGTTATTTTATAGCCCCTTTCAAATGCATTCTAAAAGGACAGGTGACAAAAACTACGAGAAGAACACTAAATGTGATTCATTTTTCTTCTTCGTTCTGCCAAATGAAAAGGACAGTCCCACTTTGTCTTTTCTTTAGTCTTAGTTCTTTTGGCTACCAATCCTTTATTAGGGACAGTAGTGTCTTAATTCCAGCTGAACACAAACGTTAAGCAAAAAGCTTTTCTGACTGATTGTGGGAATTTTCTTTTTGCGATTGCCAGTTCAACTGATTCCCCTTTTCCTTGTTATTGCTCCTCCCCCTTATTTAATGTTAAGATATGGGTCTATAATACCTTTTTTTGGTTGTCACCCTGAGTGACCGGATTGACTGGTCAATATGAGTTTTACTTGTGAAGTTCACCTGGTGGCTGTTTGTTTTCGGTTTTTTAAATCAACTAGTGGAAGGGAGACTGAGCAGTAGTTCACGATATAGTGTTATAATCCAAAGTAGATTTAGTTATGCTTTGTCTTTCTGTCACTATCTATATTAAATAAAACATTACATGTCAACACTGAGCTCTTTTTGCACCTAATGTAGATATTACTCACAGGCTTTCTTCATACATTTCTTTGCTTCAGTATTTCCATGAAAACCTTCAATTAAATCATTTTGTGAAAGTTTTTCAAGCACAGCTATTCCCAGATTTCCTTACAGACTTTCCTTCTTAGAAAGGCTCCATATGGGAAACCTAAAACTTTGGATCTCCTTTGCATTTCTTTCCGTCTGGAAATCCTTGGCTTAAGCATCAGTCCCAGTTCTTCCCACACTAGAGGCCTTTGCCGTAAAAAGCTAAAATGGATAGTTGGAAATGATTGATTGCTTTGGCTTTTAAAACCTTAATGGCAGATATTTCTGTGTCAAGGGTGAGTTCACTCCCTTTTTAACCAATATTAAGTAGTATTCTCAAATTTGAAAGGTGTAGTTAGATGAATGGCAAGTACTGGTTCATCAATGCCACAAAGGCGAAACCAGACAACACACAACTTAGCTTTACGGGGCCAAAACGGCAAATACGTCTTACCTCTGCTGTTTTCTGATCAAAAGTTGTGTCCAATGGCATTAAAACGCATAAAAACTGAAGGTTAATCCAATGTCTCTGTGTCACTTTGAAATGATTACTGATAATCCATCATCATATTTATGCCAATATTCGTATTTCCGAGTGTGACGGAGCTTCCGGTTTTGGGCAAGCTGCGTGCGCATCACTCTCACGTTAGATGGATTTAGGAACCTCCCCTTGATTATATTGGCTCTAACGGTTAAAAAGAGGTGTCAATCACCAAAATCGACCAATGGGTTCCAGAGAAACGGCCCAAAATACCAAAATACACCCAAATGTAAACCTCTCTAAAAAGGTCAAATATCACTTGTTTTGCATCAATCTTGATACAGGGTACTTATTATATGTTATAGTTTGGATTCCTAAAGCTTTTAGTCTACTATCCCATCATTCAAGGTCGGTTTTCACTATAAGTAATGGGGTTTTTTTGGACGGAAACTATAATTTACATGTTTTTACTATGTTCAATCTGAATTTACTTTAAAATTCAACTCACAGGTTTATCCTTGCTTTGAGAAAAAATATGATTAATTTAACCCTTTTAGAAGTGAAGTTATGGTCATTTGTTCTGGGAATGTCATTTTCGAGCCTGAGACCTGAAAAACAGGCTCGGGGCTTAACAGGTTAAGTTGTTAAAGCCCCTTTGGCACAATGTCATAAGTATAACTGCTCAAGGTGTTTGCTTTTCCATGCCAGGACACTAAAGACACCTAGAATTCTTCAGAATCAGCGATGCTTTAAGATTTCTGTTGTTATAGTTTAGTTTTATGCCAATACTCCTGCCCCATCTAAGTGTGCTTCATCGCAAATCCCATAATTGCCACATGGAGTATAACCAACTTGATTTTAGTTGAAAATAAAATATAAATGATAGTCCAAGCATAGTAATGTATTTGGAGTGTCAAGTTTTCTTTTCTTTCCTCTGATATTGGTCATCACAGCCTTTAGCAGCCTTGGGTCATCGCTTGGTACGGCTACATTTGCAGGATTGCCTTTTAGATCATCATTTCAAAGTGTATCCCATTAGAAATTCATGAGATGCAGTATTTGTTTGAAAGAAGACACATTGTAAAAACAATGGAATGTAGAAAATGACATTACGAACTAAGAGTCCTTTTTGCTTTAAGACATTACTCCTACCAAATAGGTAATGATTCTGTTGAGTCTTTGTGTCAGCAAGACTACATAAAAACTGATGACTTGGGTAATGGCTTAATAAAGCATTTATTGCTAAGAAAACATCATAATTAACATTATAGCTTTGTTGTCTTTGCAGACAGCACAGAGACAAAGCTCTATTTCCTCCCGGTAATGAGACAGCATCATGCTGCTCAGCGATTTGTCTTCATTACCCTGAACATTTAGCTCATGAGTTGTGCTATTTACATCTCTCTGGTTTCTTTGAACGTTTTTATCCCGCTGTGACATTTTAGTAACAGCTAGATTAGAGTGCAGGACTGGTTCCTGAGGTGAGTGTTTGCACTTCAAATACAGGCCTTTGCCATCAGTGGCAGACACTGGCCCAGGCCCAGCGAGCCACAGCCTCACAATGAGCTCACTGTCGAGAGCTGAGATCAGCTCCCTTTCTCCCCCCCTCCTCTCCTTAGGGGGAGAAACACCACATGCAGAGCTGCTGTGTTTATGTCTAAGCCGCAAGACATAGTCACATTTTTCACTGTCACCAGTTTGTAAAGCCATTGACGCAAACCGTTTCAATCTAATGGCTACTTTTATCCAAATCTATACTACATAGCTTGTGTCGTTCTAAATGTCCATGTTTTTGTCCTTAAAAAGGTCTGATTCAATATTTAAAATACTAAAATGTCTCAGCATTCGCTTAAAAAGACATATTTTATATCCTGGGGAAAATCTTCACTAACTAGTCTACCCAACATAATGGAGTCATGTGGAGTTGGCAAGAGCCTCGCTAATCATGCGAAACCCACAAAACAGTCCTTATGACTATTAAGTAATGTTACGGAAATAACAGCCCCTGTTAGTAGTTCTCATCTGCACAGACCCACAGTCGTCTGTCACTAATCAGCGCCTAACAGTCTGGAGCGGTTGTTAAGGCTGCAGCAGGGCTGGCAAATTGGTGAATGGAAGCAAGAGGTTTCACAATGACTGGATCACATCTTTCCACTGTCTGTGTCTGCGGCGAGTCTGATAAAGGAGAGCTTTCTGAGTGCCGCTTGTGTCTGATTCAGATAGGGGTGTGAATGTAAGGATGGGTGAAAAGAGTCGGGGGCTAATGATGAATTGTGTTTGCATGTGTGCTTTAATGGCCGTCGTAGCTTGAGAGATCCTGAAGGTTCGGCGTAGCTTTAGCAGGTTTGTGTGTGAATGCATGTGTCCAATTCCCCTTGTTACAGTTCTTAACTGCAGGAAGTTCCTGGTCGAAGCCAGGAAACCCTCGCTGTCCCTGATGAGCCTTTCAGCTGTGTCCTCAGTCAGATAACTTTCCACCGTTTTACCTCGAAAAAGCACAGTCAGCACTTCAGTCCAGGAAACCCCTGGCAGTACGGTCCAGTCTGGGAATCAACATGTACAAAATGAGTTGAAATATTCACAGCTTGTCTGAGGGGAGTAGTTGCTAACCTTTATGGCTTTTGACACCATTGAAATGAAGCAATGGTTACTTGTCACCCCAAATTACATGTTATCACATTGAGTGGCAACATGATATGTGGGTACTGAGCAGTTAAAATATGTATGTAACCCCTTCAGATTAACCATAGGATGACTTGGTAGGTTCTAAACTTGCAGGTCATATGTTCTAGAGTAAAAATAAAAGTTTGCATAAAACCATATTTCATGATCCGTGAGCCATCAGACTAACCATGCTGAGCAGGATTAGATCACAGTCAGGGACCAAGAGTGGTCTCCTGCTCTATGTTTAAAGGATCAGCTCGCTATCCACATCTACTTCTGGGATTTTAATCTTTTATATCGTCTTAGCTTTTTGCTGGAATGGCAGAGGAACTCAATGAAATTAATAGGTTTTTGCAAAAAGCTTACTTTCCTTTGCCATGGATCTTATTTGTATTATATGCTGCTCAAACAGATCACTTAACTGTTCTGACGTAGAGGGGGTTGCTACATTAGGAACATTATTTATCACTGTGTTTATATTTTCACCTGCTGTACCACTTCAGTTCCAAATAAATTACACAATTGCAAACTCTTGTTGCTTTGCAATATTTTGTTCAGACTGTTGATGAGCTACTGAATTACATTTGGAAACTTAAAAGGACACCTTTAGGTACACATGCATGTTAAGGTAGGAATGGTTTTGGTTCGGTCACACAGCTATACTTAAAGTGAGAAAAATGTGTCTCTCCCTGAGTTATTGATGGCTAACCTCTCCAAAGGTAATCCACTAATGCAGCTGCTTGCCAATCAGCAGTAACTCCTTTAATTAACCAACATGTTGACTTTGCAATACACTACAGTATTAATGGCCTCTGAGATCCTGAACACTTGATGACCAGGTGCTTGCTCATCAAATACAGGAAACTGCCTTAGCCAGAATTAAATAAAATGGATGCCCAATTAATCTTTTAACAGTCGCACCAATCGCAGGTGCTTGTTTTAAGCCCACTGTGATGAACTGCTTTTTGATTCCAAACATTTTTAAGGCTACAGAGCAAATGATAATGTACCTGCGATTTATATTTTTGGGATTCATTATTTGGCTTCAACAACAAAGATAATTTCAAATATTTAAACATTATGTTTTATTGTTGGAAAGTTTAATACAACTGTTTCCCAAAAAGATGATAATCTTGATCCATAGTCCTGATTGTACTATTAACTTAATCATGACATGGCGTCTGTTCGTACTGAATGGATCTAACACAGTTGCTGTCAGGGCCAAAGCTCTACAGGGTGAAGAATAGAGTGCAGAGCGTCTGATTGCTTTTATCTTATCTTTGGACTTCTTGCTGCTTAGCCAGCCATGGGAGTTGACAGGAGGCCCTGTCCCTGTGGGGGCCATCGACAGGAAGACAGAGTACTGTTTTCCCATGACATCATCACCATTAATTCACCCTATTGAGCTCTTAAGGCCTTTCAAACTGGATTACCCCGGAGGTTAATGGAGACACACATTAGACATCATTTTTTACCTCCACACGACCACAGTATAAATTGCTCTCAGCAGAACTCACATTCATATTTTTCACAAGAAAAGATTCAAGAATTGGATCACTCTTTGGGTCACCATGCTGTGAAAGGTTGATGCCATAGTCAGTCAAATATGTGCACATTTCCTTTAACTAATCTAGCCAACAATTTTTAGAGAGAGACTTCATGAAATTTAAAAATATGAAATGTATGCCAAACACATGACACAGACACTATTAAGGCTTCTCTAACCTAACTATCTGGTAGATACTTAAGCTTTAAAATGCATTCCCTAAGACTCTCTGCCCAGGATCTTTCATCTTTACCTAATCAGCGATTTCTTTCGCCAGGACTCAAAATCCTACCTCGGATCAGCAACCTCTAAAGTACCGATACAAAATAAATATATAAAGCTGACATTATAGTTGCCTTATCTCTCCTGTGCAGTGACTTGACTTCACAGTGCCACTTCTCTGCATTCCAGGAAATACCTGTGGTGAAATGATGTGAAGCCTGAGCCTACTAAAAAACGAGGCACGGGCTGTGAAAACATGATATTAAAACATTTGATGTCAAGCTCACATGGGCTAAGATTGACTTTGACCTATAAATCCACCATCTGCTGATAAGACTTTACTTTTGGCATGGTGTTTTGGTGATGAGGTTGTCAATCAAACCTTGAGAAAGCTCAGTGGAGACTGAATCAAAGACTGCGGAGGTCTAATTTTTTCTTGCTTTTTCCCCTCCCTCCTGTCTCTCACAGATCGAGAAGACCAATCCATTCTTTGCACGTAAGTATACAGCCTCAGTTGCTTCATAAATATCAATTTTATAATAACATTTCTTGTACTGAAACTGTTTCAGCATATTGTTTGGTTTATTATTGGTTGTCGATTAAACTATTGGTAACCCAAAGCCTATACTTTTATGCCTGCGGGTCTTATTATGAGTTAAACTGAGCCCTAAGTCCACAATGTTACAATGCATACAATTCATGGTTGATTCACTATCCTTATTCTTGTCTTTTCCCCCCTTTTTATTCTCGGAAATAACATCACTTGGTGCAGTATATCATTCTCTGGCATTTTGTTCCTCTGAAATAAATGCAATTCAAAGGGACAATAATACATGCACTGGTAATTAAACTACAGTTCAGGAGTGCAAGTGAACGATCTGCCCCGGGCCTTCACAGTCATTGTAGATTGTGTGTCTCAGTGACATTGACCAGACTGTCACTACTTGAGAGAAAGTGTGAAATGTGGGTCTGAGAAATGCCTGACATTTTTGCTACACAGCCCTCTGGCGTCCTTTCAGTGACAAGTGTCTACATATGACTGGAATGTCACCAAAGAAAATGTCAGAGAGGCTATAAAGACACAAACCAGCAACAGCCCAGTTACTCATGCAGGGTGAATAGTGAGGAGTTGGTGTCGCCCTCTATATGCATAGTGTGTGTCAGACTGTCATTTATAAAATACATTTACATTTAACAAAATACAACCCCAACACAAACAAAGCTGAACATATAATTTTGGGATGACTTTAAAAATGTTGAATGAATAACATATTATACAAATGAGGTCATATTCAACCCGCGTATATAATGCTTTGTTTAAATAATGGTTCGAATTTGTAATAAAATCCTACTCTAGAGTTAGAGTTCAACACCTCTCAAGAACGGTAACAAAATATAGTTTGAGGGTCAGTAGTTTGCATTAATGCTTATTTTTTTAAACAAAAGATGGATATATTCATGCTTTCACACAAAAAAGTTATGTGCATGATCTCGAGGGCTTTGGCGCTCAGATTGTGCCAAACTCATTGCAAATAATATAAAACACTAACAAACTAAATAATGTCAAAGTCAGCCACCTGTGTATATTTTTCTGAAATATGGGAGCAGAGAAAAAAACAGACATAATCCCTCCATGATTTCCCTCTGTTCACAGCAGCCTAAAGGACTGGCAGTAACCCAGTCCTTACTCTCAGCCACATCACACTCTCTCTATCTGAAAGAAAAACAATATTTTGTGCATACTTGGTGTATGCAAATGTGCGCTTACTGTAAAACCTCAAGTATGCTCTAAATCTAAACTGCTTCCCTAAAATCTTTGCATGGCTTGGAGAATTGTTTCAGTTTTTCAATGCCGTGGTCACTGTATGACAGAGCAGATAAAAGCAGGCTGCACATCAGCAGGCCAGCGACCACAGGACTAAACCTGACTGACACGCTGAAAAATCACTGCAGAGAAAGAGACACATGACAAGACACTCACGAAGAATATACTTTCAGTCTAAATATTATTCTCACATTACTTTCTTGTTGAAAAGAGGACAGGCCTTGTGTTCTGTCATCACCCAGAAGCACCTGCAAATCTGTAAAGTTAAGAGACAGTAACTTTATTGATACAGTTTTTAAAGATCAACAAGTGACTGAGATTTAGACTTAAAGGGTTGATTCTGAAGAGTTAAGTATGTCACACACACTGTTCTGAAGATGCCTGTTTTGTGTGTGTGTCCTTTGTCCCACAGAGGTGAGTCAGGAGCTGGCAAGACAGAAAACACAAAAAAGGTCATACAGTACCTGGCACATGTGGCCTCCTCCCACAAAGGAAGAAAAGACCACAACACGCCTGTGAGTATTCTCTCATCGCTCTAAGTTATTTCAGCAATATCTTCTCAAAGCCATAGACGAGACTGAAAAGATCCATAAAAGGTGAATTATTAACGTTAATTTTATGAACAAATGAATCATTAACCCTATGCCATGTCATGGCCCCACAATCCATTAAGACTAGGTTGTTTATTTTGACACTATTAAAAATGTATTAAAAGTAACAAACACTATAAATAACTAATGATCAGCTTGACCATAAGGAGGTTTTATTCTATAAATACCAGCTCCTGTAGCAATATGGCCCTTTGTGTACAAAATCTAACAATGTGCATTTGATTATCTGTACCAAACAGCCAGAATCCCCCAAACCAGTGAAACAACAGGCAAGTCCCTTTACTTTCTTATACTCCATGTTCTGTCGTGCATGCTAGACTCACATTTTCTTATCAAACATTCTTACTTTTGGTCTAAAAAGGCCTGTCTGAAATGGGATAATTAAACACTGTCAATAAGTTCGAAGACACCAGATGTGTCAGTTTACACTTAGTGTGCTTTAATATGTTTAAATACCTCAAAACAGCATATTTAGCTTTTACATTGTCTCTCTCTGTCAGGCCCAAAATGCAGTTGTAAGTACATTTCAAATCTTTGCATGATTTCTCAGTCTCCCTTAAGTGTGTTTTTATGTGAATGACTTCTGTTAGACGTACCACACTTTAAATGTGCTTGCCATTATTATGATTCACAGAAACAGTCATATGCATGTTGTATGTATTTATGTGGTTGTCACATGTTGAGCCATGCTAAGCTATATGAAGCCTAGCCACTTCTGCTGCTGCAATAGTGATAATAATTGCCAAAGCAAGGCGTATATTATATTTGTGTATCAGACTGTTGTCACCTGACCTTGAGCACTGCAGGTAGTTCTGATAGCAACATAACCTGAGGAACTACGAAACCACTGATGTATTGTAATATCAACTGTTGTAATTCTATCATTAGACTGCTGTCGGTTATACCTAGATGACGGCAATAAGGCCTCATTCAAAATGTTTAGCTTGAACTACAGGTTAACTTGTATCCATGACATTAATGCAATTTATTACCCTCCATGATAACAATTGAATTTCCCTATTCCTGCAGAGTGGATCCCTGTTTTATGTGAGTAGTATGTAGTTCTCACCTATCTCGCCTAACTAACAATATAAAAGGGGTGCTATCCCACTCTGTTTCCATCTCCTCTTGAACCTGGAAAGCAACTGTCATCCAGCAGTATTTATCAACCTAACTTTGACACTGCATGATCTGTACTTCCTGTCCTCACTGAGTTAATATACTTCTTCTATCAGACATTTAACATTTACATGACTTACAGTGTGAGGACCCCGACCCTCATAGAGCTCAATCTTTGCTCTAATCTTCTGTGTATATACTAATGTGCTTCTTTAAGCAGATAGATACCATGCTATCACTATGGATTAACAATTAGAAAAAAGGGAATTTCTTGTTATTTTTTTCAACCAATATTGTTTTAAATTTGGTAGATTGTGTTATAGATATATCCAGAGGTGTCTGCATTGGTGATTGACAGGGAAAAAACAAGATATAATTAAACCAAGCATTATTCAAATCTTTCTTGTAACTGCATAAACAGAATCAGATCAAATGATGTAGCTTCATCAGTCAGTCCGTGAAAGTCTAATTGGTAGACATGGCTAGTTTTCTATCAATTAATGAATATTTTTTACTGAATAGAAGAATGAATATCCTCCAGTTGTCGTTACAGCTAATGATATCAGACAACAGCAAAAGTTACATCACAAGATATGTAGCAAACGTACCTAAAATAAATTAAAGTGCTTCACTGGTGTTCAAGCCAGCTCATCCTAACCACTTGACCTGCATGTAGTGGGCGATTTCATACACTGAGTTATATTAAGCCTAGAAGGTTTGTCGTCCCACATGATTTCTCCCTTTTGGCTCGTACCTCTCCACACACTGCATGTCATTCCCAATTCTCCTTCTTCTGCTGATGATAAGAGCAACTTGTAAAACTTACCTATCCTTGAGACCTCCACTAAATCTGTCCTAAAGTAACGCTCCATTGCCTACAGACAGCCTGCACTTTGATGAGAGACATGCATGTAGCTAAATACTTTCTAAAAAGACAGAATAATTAGTTTTATAGGAGATGACAAGAATGATTTTGTGTTTCGGGAGATCAGTAGTTGTGAGTCCTCTCAGGTTGCCTACATGTTTATCACAGCTACACAACAATTGTCCGCCTCATGTGAGGGAGGCAGCTCTGTTGGCTGTCAGAAGCCTGGCATGCTCACTATCAGGAATGTGGGTCAACTTCTAATGCTGCCTAATTGGCCCCCCACCGGTGTTTGTAATCTGCACTTTGTGTTTATGTGCGTACAGCAGACCACACAGATGGGTAGAAGCTGCCAATGAACAATTTCCAGCTACTAAGTTGCACCAGAGGCCTGTGTTTATGTAGAAACAAAGGTTTTTTGGTTGAAACCTCATTCCTGGTCCTTTTCCAGCTTTCAGAGCGGTGGCAGAGTTGATCTAGTTTAGCCTTGCTTCTTTCCAGCTGCATAAAAAACTGAATTAAAAGCAGCCCATCGTGCTCTCCGGCCGAAGATCACATTACATGCCTCACATCCTGAGTGCAACGCTGATTCCTCATTCCAGAGAGCTCCCTTATGTGGAAAATGGCCTCCTCCAACCCTTTGTGTGTGCAGCTATTTCTGAAGTCATTTGAAAGTATTCCACTCAGCCACAAGAGGAAAAGTAACATAGCAGAAGAAAGTGTTTTTCTCTCAGCCATTTTGGATTCTGTGGTCGTGACAAAGCCCACAATGTGGCTGAGATGCAAACACACTCCACCACCTGTCCAAACATCTGCACAACGCGTTTATTTATTTATTTAGCTTCTTTGTACAGTCTGATGAAATGAAGTGTTTCTGTGGTGTGACAGGATAGGCTGTCTGGCTTTTCTCACAACAAAAAGACAACATCTTCCCAGAAATCTCCCTCAATCACATTACACTTAAAAATATAAAACTAATGCGAATTGAATAGACTTGGTTGTGAAAGATGTTATGATGAAGACACAATTTTCACAGGATTCGTTTTTTCTCATTTAAATCTGAAGATGAAGATGTTGGCTCTATCTTCCTTCAACATATTGCTATTAACAAAAACTGGCTGGGAATTGCCATTACCAAAACAAAACATGACATGTACCTTAAAGAGGTAGAAGGACATATTTATCTATACCTTCAGAAATGTTACATCAAACAGAGGTTGCCTCTTTATAATAGTTTTCACAAGTTGTTTTCACATTGTTTGTGCCTAGTGTTGCTTTGGATACAAATGACTTTGTTAGTAAAGGGATAACTAACATCTGTCTGTAATAAACACATGACAAGATTTCATCTGTCTTTGTCTGCATGTATGTTTTTCTCTAATCAGTAATTCACAAGTTTATCCTCTGTTTTTGTTGCTGATAAGTCAAAGGCCTGTTGTAACATTCCTCTGTTTTTCAGGGTGAATTGGAACGTCAGCTTTTACAAGCCAATCCCATCCTTGAAGCTTTTGGGAATGCTAAAACAGTGAAAAATGACAACTCGTCACGTTTTGTAAGTATAGAAAATGAATATTCATGAAGATAGGTTGCATTTTTCTTATGTGCATCAAAGTCTAATCCATCCCGTATTCCAGCCTGCGACCATCATTACACAAACAGACCTTTCATGTTCCCTATGGCTCACACCCTTTTATCTAAAAGTACTACAGTCAAATGAAATGATGCTGGTTGAAGTCCTGCGTGTCAAAATAATGAGATGTTTTGAATATAAGCATGTCTATAACCTATTCTGTGTGTAGATGATTTGTCTTAGTCTCATGCTTTTGAAGTTTGATGTTATATATATAAACATCAAGCTTAATCCTCACCATGAGGCCTCAGCTTGTGTTACAACAGAGTTATGTAACAGATTGATTTCTGTATATCTTGTCTTGTGCACTTTCTGAACATTAGTGTTAATCTCTGCAGGGGAAATTCATCCGCATCAACTTTGATGTCACGGGATACATCGTTGGAGCCAATATTGAAACCTGTATCCTGCTTTGAAACAATGGACTAGAACTAAGTAGCGTGTTGATGTACGGTAGATAAGATATTCATAAAGCATAAAGCGTTTATTGGGAGTTGGAAAAAAAATCCGTTTATACATAGATTTTGATCTGGATTTGTCTACAAATTGGACCTGTAATCTAGGAACCATTTCTCATGTAAACAAGTTTCGATTCTATGTCCAAATGAACGACCAAATTGATATTTTCTTGACCGTTCTGCGTCAGACTTACTAGAGAAATCCAGAGCTATTCGTCAAGCCAAAGATGAGCGCACCTTCCACGTTTTCTACCAGCTGCTGGCTGGAGCTGGAGAGCACCTCAAATGTAAGTAGACTGAAGTTTAAAACTACCAAGATATATTATTTGTCTGTCAATCTCGACCAAATCTGTTTTTGGCAGCTGAACTTAGTAAAACACAAGTTGACAGTATAACTAATAATAATATGAAATAGTTCACATTCAAAACATCACATCTTAACCACTTCTTTTAATATTTTATTCACATCTCTCTTTACAGCGGACCTGCTTTTGGAAGGATTCAACAGCTACCGGTTTATGTCTAACGGAAACGTCACGATCCCCGGCCAGCAGGACAAAGATAATTTCCAGGAGACGATGGATGCCATGAACATCATGAGCTTCGGCCATGAGGAGATTCTGTGTACGTTAGCACAACACTAGCAAGAAACATGCATAAACCCAAGAGTGTTGCTTTCATTATTACGGAGAAAATGACTTATCAAGGTCCCTCTGAATGTATTGTTCACAGAGAAACAAGCAATCTCTGTACTGTACGTGTGTTTATGCAATGCTGCATTTTTTAGTGAAAAGAAAATGAAAGTGATGGTTAAATAGTTTGTCATTTGAATGGGATTTGATCAAATTGTTCAGTAAATGACCATAAAAAAACACCTGTTTTTGTCAGTTCCACTACTTAAACACATCCATGTAATGCTAAAACCATTCACTACAATATGAATATTTTCCCCTTTTTTATATCTGTAGCCATGCTGAAGGTGGTGTCCTCTGTGCTTCAGTTTGGTAACATTAGCTTTAAGAAGGAGAGGAACTCTGATCAAGCCTCTATGCCGGATAACACTGGTATGTATCCCACACACACTCATACACACACACACACACACACACACACACACACACACACACACACACACACACACACACACACACACACACACACACACACACACACACACACACACAACACACACACACACACACACACACACACACACAGACACAGACACACACACACACACAGACATGCGCAGGTTGCAATCCTTTTACATCTGCTTTATAACCTCCCAGCTCACAGGTCAAGAGATTATTTTCCTCCTCTTCCTCTTCCCATTTATACTTCAACTCCTGTCCTCCCCTCTCCCTGCCTCCCTCACGCTGCGTCCTTATCCACAGAACAGAGGAACTAGTGATTTATGTCTTTTCTCTCCCCCGGCCCAGTCAACCGGCCATTTAGCCACATTATTATGAGGATTTACTCCTGAAGGAAATGGGGCAGAGTCTTCCACTTCCTCCACATGAGGCACTGCGTATTTGGCCCTTAAGTAAGGGAGACAGGGAGAGAGAACGAGTCCAATGCCAGTGATGCAGCTCAGCCAGGTATTCCAAAATGCAACAAGCAGAATCCAAGACTGAGGCAGAGGTTTTTTTTAGTAGTAGGACTTGGCTGAGCTTAAGCAGATCATGCTTTTCTACTTTTCCACTATCTCCAGCCATGTAAAATATTACATTTTTCCTCATCAAATGTATTGAGGGAACATCTTTAAAAAGATTTCTGCTTCATCTTAAGGTTTTATAGCTTTTATTAACGATGTGTAATAAAATAGATTCAATCACACATTGTCAATGCAACACTGGGAAAGATCTTCATCAGTATCAAAACCAAAACAAGAAAATGTCTCCGTAACGTTTTGTTTCCTATCTTGAAAAGACATTAAACATTCAGGTATATATCAAATAAACCCTTTTAAGACTTGTGTTGTAGCCTCCTTTTAATCTAATTTAAATACATTTGTATTCCCTGTTGTGTGTTTTCCCCATCTCTGTCTCCCAGCTGCCCAGAAGCTCTGTCATCTGCTGGGTCTGAATGTCATGGAGTTCACCAGAGCCATCCTGTCCCCGAGGATCAAAGTGGGAAGAGACTACGTCCAGAAAGCGCAGACTAAAGAGCAGGTCAGTGAGCGAACAACAAGTTATCTTTTATTTCTAGCTCAGATCCACGTAACACTAATCATGGTCTATTCCAGGTTTCATTTTTGGATTTGATGTGCATATATTCTTCATTTAAATCATCAGTACAACTTCATAATGAGCTGCAAAGGTCTGTCTGCAAACCGATCAGTCTATTGAACAAAAAAAAAAACCTTCTAATTATTTTAATGAGTGAATCATTTTTAGAGTTATTTTTTTCTTTCTATTCCTTTGTTTGAAGCATCCGCCTAGCTTTTTCTCCAGCCGCCGAGCTCCATGGGGAATGTTGTAAAACGAACCGACATGAAATAAAAACTCTGAAGTTGAAACATTTAAAAAGTGATGGCTGTACCAGTGAAGGAAAAAGAATGATATCTTGCCTTGTATTGCATTTTACTGAGCACATACGAAGGCAAGTTTTACTTTCTCTGAAACTTCTCCAAAGTACGTGTCCTGTTTATAAATCATTCATTTTAAAGTGCTATTGCAGACTTCTGAACATTATGGCTTCAGCTCAATCTAACAGCCTTTGTCTCAACTGTTTTAGATATCAATACACGTCTGTCACATTAACGGTATACAGTATCTCCAAGATGTCAGAGTCCATTTCTGAATCTGAATTCTACTGACTATTGCCCCGATCTACCTGTGCTCGCTCTCTGCCATGGCCGCTCTTCCTCACCTGACATTGTCTTATTTTACCTCTGGTTTCCTTTTCTCCCTCCAGGCTGACTTTGCTGTTGAAGCCTTGGGTAAAGCGACATACGAGCGTCTGTTCCGCTGGCTGGTCCATCGCATTAACAAAGCTCTGGACAGAACCAAACGGCAGGGGGCGTCCTTCATCGGCATCCTGGACATTGCTGGTTTTGAGATTTTTCAGGTTTGGATCAAATCTTTACAAGTTTTAATCTTAAAAGAAGAATGTTTGTCAGGTTGTGGCTGGAGAACATGGTTTTTGCTGTTGTTGTGTTTCTCTTACAAGCTATCTACATTTGAGGTTTTGAGCTCTTGTCATTTACACATACAGGACTGTCTCAGAAAATTAGAATATTGTGATAAAGTTCTTTATTTTCTGTAATGCAATTAAAAAAACAAAAATGTCATACATTCTGGATTCATTACAAATCAACTGAAATATTGCAAGCCTTTTATTATTTTAATATTGCTGATTATGGCATACAGACTTAAGAAAACTACAAAAATCCCATCTCAAAAAATTAGAATAGTTCCTCAGACCAAGTAAAAAAAAAAGATTTATAACAGCAAAACACAATCAAACATTTGAAAATGTCATTAATGCACTCAGTACTTGGTTGGGAATCCTTTTGCACGATTACTGCATCAATGCGGCGTGGCATGGAGGCAATCAGCTGTGGCATTGCTGATGTGTTATGGATGCCCAGGATGCTTCAGTAGCGGCCTTTAGCTCATTAGCATTGTTGGGTCTGGTGTCTTTCAGCTTCTTCTTCACAATACCCCACATATTCTCATGGGGTAGGTCAGGGGAATTTGCAGGCCAATCGAGGACAGTAATGCCATGGTCAGTACACAGTTACTGGTGTTTTGGCACTGTGGGCAGTGCCAGATCATGCTGGAAAATGAATTCCTCATCTCCATAGAGCTTTTCAGCAGACGGAAGCATGTAGTGCTCTAAAATCTCTTGGTACACAGCTGCATTTACTCTGGGCTTGATGAAACACAGTGGACCAACACCAGCAGCTGACATGGCTCCCCAAACCATCGCTGACTGTGGGAACTTCACACTGGATTTCAAGCAACTTGGATTTTGCTCCTCTCCAGCCTTTCTCCAGACTCTGGCGCCTTGACTTCCAAATGAAATACAAAACTTGCTTTCGTCTGAAAAGAGGACTTTGGACCACTGTGCAACTGTCCAGTGCTTCTTTTCCTTAGCCCAAGTCAGACGCCTCTTCCGTTGTCTTGAGTTCAGAAGTGGCTTGACCATGGGAATACGGCTATTGTAGCCCATTTCCCGGACACGTCTGTGAACAAGCGACTTTTGATACCTGGACTCCAGCTTCAGTCCACTGTCTTTGAAGCTCCCCCAAATTCTGGAAGTGACTCTTCTTCACAATGCTGTTAAGGCTGCGGTCATCTCTCTTGGCTGTGCAGCGTTTCCTGCCACATTTCCCCCTTCCAACAGACTTTTTGTGGATGTGCTTTGAAACTGCACTCTGTGAACAGCTTGCTCTTTGAGAAATTTCTTTTTGTGTCTTACCCTCCTGATGGAGGGTGTCAATGACGGGTCCTCTGGACAGCAGTCAGATCAGCAGTCTTCCCCATACTTGTGATTTAGTTTACTGAACCAAGCTGAGTGTTTTTCAAGGCTCAGGAAACCCTTGCAGGTGTTTCGAGTTAATTAGACGATTCAAGTGATTCGTTGAACACCCTACTAGTATACTTTTTCATGATATTCTAATATTTAGAGATAGGATATTTGAGTTTTCTTAAGCTGTATGCCATAATCAGCAATATTAAAATAATAAAAGGCTTGCAATATTTCAGTTGATTTGTAATGAATCCAGAATGTATGACATTTTTGTTTTTTTAATTGCATTACAGAAAATAAAGAACTTTATCACAATATTCTAATTTTCTGAGACAGTCCTGTATTTCATTCGTTCATGTTCAGAGTATTGTTCTTCTTCTTCCCTACTACAGTTGAACTCATTCGAGCAGATGTGCATCAACTACACCAACGAGAAGCTGCAGCAGCTCTTCAACCACACCATGTTCATCCTGGAGCAGGAGGAGTACCAGAGGGAGGGCATCGAGTGGAGCTTCATCGACTTCGGCCTCGACCTGCAGCCCTGCATCGACCTCATCGAGAGGCCGGTCAGTGTGGATGATTGGCTGATCTACTTGTTTTATTTTGGACATACTTAAACTCTTCAACAAATATTTTCCACCTATTCTTTTAAACTAGTCTTGTTATTGTTAAAAACACACTCTTAAGTTTCATAATACTTCACTTATCCAGTATACAATATTTAACTGGATACACAGTATTTTTTTTCCAATTTTAAAAATAAATAAATCATGCTTGTATTCACAGCATTTTTTTTAACCACCTGCTACATTTTAGGAAATAAATGAATGAACAAAAATTTGCTTATTCATATCTGCATTGAGTCAAAGTTGATAGTTAGTACTTGAGATGCCAACCATAACGCTCCTGAATAATAAACACAAAATACAAATACTTCAAGTTTTATCTCACTGTTATAAATACAAAGGCCTCTCTCTCCCAAGGCTTGAGTTCTGTCTTGTTATTGTTCGTTCAGGCGAACCCTCCAGGAGTGTTGGCTCTGCTGGATGAAGAGTGCTGGTTCCCCAAGGCCACGGACAAGAGCTTTATCGATAAGCTGAGCCAGGAGCAGGGCACACACTCCAAGTTCCAGAAACCTCGGCAGCTCAAGGATAAGGCCGACTTCTGCATCATCCACTACGCTGGCAAAGTACGCTTCTTTTTGAAAATGTCTTTAGGAATTAAACTCAGCAGGTTTCTGTTTTTGTTAAGTCCTCTGCTGGAAGGTTCTCCAAAGGAAAGAAATGGGTTCACCCACTGAAGGATAAAGCTCTCAGTTTATGGAGCTTGTTTAAAGATTATAGGTCAGGCTCTCTTCCAAACTGCACTCACAGACACATAATGAAAGGATCATTTTATTAATCATCTATGCTTATACAACTGATACCCTTATAGTTAAAGTGGACCAATCATGCTATATTTGAAACATATATTGTAGGGCCATACCTATAAAACATGTCTGTGAAGTTTTTTTTTTCAAAATACCAAACAGATCATGCATTTTAGCCATGCCTCATTTCGCTCCATTTGCTCTTTTCCAGCCCTGTTTTTGCAAGGGCTGATTCTGCTTTTGTGGCAGACTACTGCGCCACTCACAGGCCTGGCATATGTACTACAGCGTCTCCAGCGCTTTCGAGCGGTCTCTCATTCCCCTGATTGGTGGAGAGTTGCCTATATAGGCGGAGCACCCTTTTTCTGACGTCAGAAACATTCAAATAATAATAAAATCTGTTGCAGCCCCGTTTTTAGAGATTTGGGTATGGAGGAAAATAGAGAGGGTTGTGTTTTCTGACACTTGGTGAGTTCCCTGACACCATACTTGTCAACCCTCCCGATTTTCGCGGGAGACTCCCGATTTCATTGCCCTCTCCCGGTTTCCTCCCGGGGTCATATTTCTCCCGCATTTCTCCCGATTTCTGACAAATTCAGATTTACTCAGGACTGTTTCCACTCCGACTTTAATACAGCTACACCGTTTGGTTTCCATGGTAACACGTCTCTTTAGTAGCGCGCGCAACTCAAAGTCTGAGAGGGTGAGGCAGATAGTCACAGAAAACAGAACAAGAATCGACAACTACTCTACTCTCTGCAAGTATGCCTGACACACCGGGGACAAAAGCGATAAAGCGTCAGCTAAATGTAATGTACTTAGAAACATACAGTATGTTATATATAAATATATATATATGGCTCCCTTGCAGGACCAGCTGCTTTATTAATGTCTACACTCATATTTTCCACTACATCTCTTTTCCTCCCTGATATTCTTCTGCAAAATGTAAACACCAAGAAAGAAGTCGAAAATGATGCAATGTTCTCCTGTGGTGGGATTTCAGGGAAATACTGACTCCTGGTTTGATTGATATGACTTAGTATTGGAGTGGATTTGGAAGTTGTGAAGTGTGTTATCCAATAGGACTGCTGAGGAACACATCTGCTTACCATTAAGTGAACTTTGATGTCTTACACCACAATCAGTCAAAAACACAGAGGTTGAACTGTAAGAACATCTGCTGTGGAGAAATATCTGCAGCCCCATTGAGCCAAATGTTGTAAAGGTTGTCAACAGGAGTATGCACACAAAATATTACCTCGGAAATGCAGCCTGAAACGCTACAATAAAGTGTGACCTGTGCAGTATATAAAGTTAGTATTCGTAGTATGTCAATTTGTCAGATATACAAAATATTTATACAGAGATTTCTTATTGAATATATGTTTAAGCATCATAGGCATTAATACACAGTCTGGATGGTTACACAAGAATACACATTGATAGAGTTGTTGATACAGCCTTTATAGCTAATCCTTTCTCCTTATGTTTCCTCTTCTGTCAAATGACTTCCTGTTCATCCCACTAAGTTATAGTTTGAGCTCCCCACAGACCCCAAGTGAGACCCCTACCCTCAATGTTTAAGGTTTTTTGCCAAAATTAATATTTGAGGGTTAAAAATATCGGCCCTTATTACTTGTTTACATAATAACTTAACATAAATATTTGTCTTTACTTTTTTTTTTTGTGTGTGTGAGCAGTGAAAATATAAATGTATAAACAAGGCTTAAACTATCTAATGGAGACATTTGACCTCAAATATACTTTTGGCATTCAATGAAATAAACAGAATAACAATAAAACCTGAAGAGCTAATGTTTATTGACATATTGAAATTAAAACAAATCCTTAAATGTGCTGTAATAATAATAAGGTATTAGTTTTGTCCATATCTCTGAGTTGTACATGTGATTGTTCCAGGTGGACTACAAGGCCGATGAGTGGCTGATGAAGAACATGGATCCCCTGAACGACAACGTGGCCTCTCTCCTGCACCAGTCAACTGACAAATTTGTGGGTGAACTTTGGAAAGATGGTAAGCTGCTACTTTCTTATCTCTAAACGTTTCAAATGGTGCTAAAAATAATCAATTTGAGTAACTCATCCGTTAAAATTCTGTATGTATGTACCTGTTTGCTTCTCACTCAAGCCTACTAACAACAGCTCTCCTTGTTGACCAAAGCCTGTTCGTTTATGATAACTGAGGATACACTTAACGTCGCCCTCCCCTCCCTGTCTCTCTCTCTGTGTTGTAGAGATTCAGACCATTCAAAGGGCTTCATTCTATGACAATGTCACTAGTCTGGATGACCCCGAAGGTGAATGAATGGGTCGTGCTGTAGCTGACCTGGGCCAAAATAATAATAGCAACACATTTACCAGTAGGCAAAATAAAAATGATTGCCAGAAAGGTTCTTAAAAGTGTACTGGTATATTTTTGCCCAGATCTGTATGTGTCATGCTTCAGCCGGTGCTGTGTCTGTCATAGCTACAATGGCTCCCATTTGCTTCCAGGCTGCATGGCTCCCTTGTCTCAGCCAAAAGCAGTAGTCTCTCCTAAATATTTAGAATATATTCAACTGCTCCCTCTAGTCAAATCAACGTGCTTTAATTTGTGTCAGTATTTTTGTAGGCTGACATGGTTCTTGTGATCTCTGTGTGTCCAATAGCCAAGAAGCAAGTGTTTGGATGGAGTGCAGCTGCTTGCAGCTTCATAGATTATTTCTGTTTCTGCCCCTTCTCTGTCATGTGAAACATCCACGAGCAATTTAGGGTTCGAGTCCTGACTGAAGACTATTTAATGACATTAATTTCCCGCCTTCCTCCTGCCTAGATAGGATCAGAGTAGCGGGAAATTGAAAGCAGATGTCGGTATTTGTTTTGGCTCAGAGCTCAGCCCTCAATGTGAGGGTCCAGACGGCAGGCCATACATCATCTCAGTCTAAACTCCAGCAGTCTGTGACTAGACAAACAGATTTTATTTAGACAGTTGGATATTAACAGGTGCCATAGTGTATATTTAATTGAGTGTTAAATCATAACATATGACTAAATAAGTCTACTGACATTATTGCTAGATCATAAAACTATTTCAATATGTAATGAATAATTCTGTCGATATTCTATATTCCCAACAAAAATCTGCACAAACTGACAAGTTCCTTTATCGCCATGCAGAAGTTCAGACATTATGCTACTGTTTTCACAGGCTGAGTAGCATGAACTATGAGTAGTCAATTCCTCCTCATGGGTAAAATAGTTGGAGTACCCTTTTATTATAGGTTGTAAAAAGGTCTATTGTAATATGTATTCATTCAGTGTCTGCAACTCCTTTAATGTTAACATATTAGAAGTCAAATGTTGAAAAGTGTTCATGTAGCTGCCATCAAGAATCGTCTCTCTAATCCTTGAGGACCAAATAAAGCCTTTAAATTCATCTTTGTTAATATGACATATGACCCTGTAGGAAAATATATGCTACACTTCCCATCTGCAGAAACTAGTGTTAGTTCCAGGGGTTCCCAAAGTGGGGGTCGCGAGATGATTACAAAATAAAAATGGAAAATTAAAAAAAAAAAAATTATAAAAAAAAATTGATTATTTTTTTAATAATTTTTTTTAAAAATTATTATTAATAATAACGTTTGCATAGACATTTTTTTCTTTGACAATGCACTAGCGCAGTGTTTCTCAAACTTTTTCTCTTTTTTTTTCTGAAATTAATTCACTAGCACCCCCCCGTCGACAGGGGGTCGCCAGTCTCCGGCACTGTTATTTTGGGGGTCGCGGGCTGAAAAGTTTGGGAACCCCTGAGTTATACCCCTGAGTGTTAGACTGCAGTGTGTAATGTCTTTTTCATCCATCTGCACCTCATGTAGCTACATTTTGTCATTGTGTGGCTGCTGCTGCTGTTTTTTCTCTGCCCCCCCCCACAAAGGCTCCTCGCTCTAACCAGTTCTCCCCCTCTCCCCATCAGTCGACCGCATCGTGGGCCTGGACCAGGTGGCAGGGATGAACGAGACAGCCTTTGGCGCCACCTACAAAACCAAAAAGGGCATGTTCCGCACGGTGGGCCAGCTCTACAAGGAGTCGCTCACCAAGCTCATGGCCACACTGAGGAACACCAACCCCAACTTTGTCCGCTGCATCATCCCCAACCACGAAAAAAGAGTAAATAAAGAATTAATATGTATTTGTTAGAATCTGCATGTTGAAAAGTGGAGAGTCAGCGACCTTTAACGATGAAATTATGATTGATTTACCCTGTACCATGTTGAGTCTGCTGTCACTTGATTTCTGGTCAGTCTATAACGTTAATTGCTTTGAAATCCAGTAATGCTAATATCAGTTCAGTTTAAAGAGCAGAAATTGTACGATATAAAAACTTGTTTTTGGTCTTAATTGTTTATTTGTTTCTCCTCCAGGCTGGTAAACTGGAGCCTCACCTGGTTCTGGACCAGCTCCGGTGTAATGGAGTCCTGGAGGGGATTCGTATCTGCAGACAGGGCTTCCCCAACCGCATCGTCTTCCAGGAGTTCAGACAAAGGTGACAAACCACAAAGAAGACATTTTCTTTTTAATTCCATAAACATTTTTGGAGAAAGAAGTACTGATCATGATGTACTTTATTGTTCACAGATATGAGATCCTGACACCTAATGCTATCCCCAAGGGTTTCATGGATGGAAAACAAGCCTGTGAAAGAATGGTAGTGTTTGTTTTTTTGTTCTTGCTGTATTTCAGTTTTGAGACAGAGCTACTAAATATAGGGAGTTTTGTTTTGCTTTTGATCAATTTCCAGGAACTTTTGAATCAAAGAACTTACCTCTTTAAATCCAAATTCTTTTGAAAAAGCCTGTGGTGAAAACTCTAAAACAAATACTTGTTTGATTGTGATGTCAAACTGTTTTACCATTAGCATGTCATACATTTTTTAAAACAGAATGTAAATGTTATGTTAAATACTTAACAACTGTTTATGTGTTGTTTATAGATCCACGCCCTGGAGCTGGACCCCAACCTGTTCCGTATTGGTCAGAGTAAGATCTTCTTCAGAACCGGAGTCCTGGCTCACCTGGAGGAGGAGAGAGATCTGAAGATCACCGACATCATCATCTACTTCCAGTCTGTTTGCCGTGGATACTTGGCACGCAAGTGGGTGCCAGATCTCTGTTTTATTTGATTTGATATGTATTACTTTAGCAGATGTATATGCGTTTAAATGCACAGGATGATTTAAGGACAGTGATGCAGCTTACACATTTGTCAAGTGTAAAGGCATTTCTCATGTCAAGTCACAACTTAGTGCTTGTAGCTCATCCTGGTAGTTCCCATAAAATAAATCACAAGTACTTGTAGTCCCCGTTGAGATTTAGCATTATTACCAGAGCAGTGAGGGAATACACTATTTATTAGTTTGTTTGCTGCTTTAACAGCTCATCGGTTCACTCAATCCAGCCCAACCTTGGTTTTTAAAAATACTGCAGACTTTAAATGCACCACGCTACCTCAACACGGCTATTATTGTTCCATTTCTTCTCTTAGGGCCTTTGCTAAGAAGCAGCAGCAGCTGAGTGCCCTGAAGGTCCTCCAGAGGAACTGTGCTGCTTATTTGAAGCTGCGACACTGGCAGTGGTGGAGGCTCTTCACCAAGGTGAGACACCCTGACAGCATCACAGCTGTACACTTCTGCTCCAGCTAAAGATCTGAGCATTTCAGAAATGACTGGTGGCATACCTCAACAATTACCTCAGTTAAACATGGACAACACAGAAAATGGAGAATACTCAATATCTCCCTAAGGCTTTAAAATGTTTTGCTCCCTATTGTATTGGAATTTGCAAGCGTTTCATGTTGTCATCAAAGAAAAGGGTTTTAAGGTTTTGAGTTAAGCAAACTCCATCTGCTGAGGAGTACAGCTCAATCAAATCCAAACGTTTTTTTTATTGATTATTGCCAAGGATAAAGTTAATCCTATTTTTGCCTTACTGAGCTTATTGGAGCAGGGTGTCCGCATGGCTTAAAAAAAGTTTTAACATAGAAAATCAAATAGGTGAGGAGCAGGTGCTATCAGACCTACAGCAAACACCATCGCTACTATGTACAGTAGCAACGTGTCATTTCATCGTGATTGGCAAGTGTCCATTTTAGCAAAAAACTAAATTAACTTAAGAGTTTTTAAAAATATTTAACAATTGAAAACCCTGTGGAGGTTGATTTGTTTGTCTTCTCTTCTACTCTGTCAGGTCAAGCCTCTGCTGCAGGTGACCAGGCAGGAGGAGGAGATGCAAGCCAAAGATGAGGAGCTGGTGAAGACGAAGGAGAGGCAGCTCAAGGTGGAGAACGAGCTGGTGGACATGGAGAGGAAACACCAACAGGTAAACATGCACTCCGTTATGGAAAGTACAGAACATAATGGGCTTCAAGCTCAGACCAACAATTACTTCACCAAAAGGTGATCAATTCATAATTTTTAAATAAAAATGGAAGGAATCAATCTAATGGCTAAGAAGGCTGGATATATGTTTGAACTCTCTCCCTTCTCCAGCTCATAGAAGAGAAGAACATCCTAGCAGAACAACTCCACGCAGAGACGGAGCTGTTTGCCGAGGCCGAAGAGATGAGAGTCCGTCTGCTCTCTAGGAAGCAAGAGTTGGAGGAGATCCTTCACGACCTGGAGTCCAGGGTGGAGGAGGAGGAGGAGAGGAACCAGAGCATGCAGAATGAGAAGAAGAAGATGCAGTCACACATCCAGGTGTTTATCCTCATCTGTTTAAACTCCCACACGCTCCAATCACTCGCCTATCTTTGATTCTGATATTCTGAATTCATCCTATTAGTTGTTGCATAATAAAAATGTTCCTCATTTGAACATTTAAATAACCTTTTGGCATTTTTATAAAAGTTGAAGAGAGTAGGATTCCATATTTGAGTAGCTGAGTGTGCAATTGGGAAACTCCTAAGTTATTCCTGAAGAGATGTTTTTCTCACTTGGATCCTTTATCTATTCATAAATATTAAATGTTGTAAAATGATTTTACAGTTTATTGCAAAGTGCTGTAGCTTTAGAGAGCTTTAACTGTCCGACTTCCATCACTTTAAAAACGTGTGTGTGTGTGTGTGTGTGTGTGTGTGTGTGTGTGTGTGTGTGTGTGTGTGTGTGTGTGTGTGTGTGTGTGTGTGTGTGTGTGTCCACAGGACCTGGAGGAGCAGCTTGATGAAGAGGAAGCTGCGAGACAGAAGCTGCAGCTGGATAAAGTGACAGCTGAGGCCAAGATCAAGAAAATGGAGGAGGACATTCTCCTGCTGGAGGACCACAACTCCAAGTTCCTCAAGGTGAGAGGATTAGATCTGCCAAAGATGGGTCGAACAAGAACAGAAAGAAAAAACAGTCTATAAATTAGATAAAATAAAGTAATAAATATTAGTGATTAATAGAAAAATGTTGACCTTTTCACCTCTTTAGAGTAGATAAGACTGTCTTAAAGTGACAGTATAATTGACTTATTTCACCCAACAGGAGAAAAAGCTGCTGGAGGACCGGATCGGAGAGATGACCTCCCATCTGACGGAGGAGGAGGAGAAAGCGAAGAACCTCGGGAAGGTTAAGAACAAGCAGGAGCTGATGATGGTTGACCTGGAGGGTAAGGGCTCCCAGCAAGCTGCTGCTTATATCATAATAACTCTTATCAGGACAAACAATAAAAGATGGATGGCCACCGTCACAGCTGGAAGACCCATTTTGTTCTGTTAGCTGCAGTTCTATAAGAAGTTCCATATAAGTAGCACATATGACAGAAATGACACACAAATGGGCTTCAATGAAAAGTATGAACGAATCGCGGAAAGAATACAAATCTGAAATCTATTAATGATTTTTTACTTTTCATGACTAGTAAAAAAAACTGTTTGTGTTTTGTTATTATATGTGTCGCTAAGGCCCGAGGTAAACACTCAGCAAAGCAGTTCATGTGATTAGCATGAGTTGTGTCAGGCTGTTAGCAATTAGGTGTTGGTGGCTTTTCACTTTCTGTGACCTCGTTGTGCCTCCTATGACCCCTCTGTGACCTCGTTGTGCCTCCTATGACCCCTCTGTGACCTCGTTGTGCCTCCTATGACCCCTCTGTGACCTCGTTGTGCCTCCTATGACCCCTCTGTGACTTTGCTCATTTACCTCTTGTGATTAACTGAAGCCAAAAGTGTTCACATTTCTTACTAATCATTGATTTTGCCTTTTCTTTCAGAGCGTTTGAAGAAGGAGGAGAAAACGCGCCAGGAGCTGGAGAAGGCCAAACGCAAACTGGATGCTGAGACGACGGACCTGCAGGATCAGACTGCGGAGCTTCAGGCCCAGATAGAGGAGCTGAAGATCCAGCTGAGCAAGAAGGAGGAGGAGCTACAGGCGTCTCTGGCCAGGTCAGAGATCAACATATACAACATCAAACTGACAGCTTCAGACACCTTCAGTAAAACATAACACGGATCAACTCAATTCAAACATGAGCTTTTTAGCAGGGACAATTGATTAAAGTGTGCTACTCCAGAAAAAGAATGGTACTATAACTGAAAACAACATTTACGAAAAATGGAATAAAGGAAAGTATTTGATCAGATGACCCCAGTTCAATAATTCTCTTATCAGAAACTGAGCCAAAAGCTTTCCTTACAGTAGACAAAGGGACACATCCTATTATATTCAATTTCATTCATTGTCTGAAAGTAGAAGTATTTCTGTCCAAGCGCTTTGCTATTCACAATGATGGATATTGACTGAGCTGTGTCTAATTGATTTTGGTGAAAGCACATTATTATTTTGTATAAAAAGTATTATAACACTCACTACTGGGTGAACTCCTGTGAACCCGCATAACTATGAACCTAAACTGATGTGGGAAAATATCACTGTTAGTGCTGTTGCTCGTCGTTAGCATGTGAAGCTCAACTTCACTCACATCCTCTTACTAGTGCAGCACATCCTATTTCCATGACAACTGCACTCCAATTCAATAGAAAGACCTAAAATAGACAAAACACAAACAAGCACTCTGTCAACTCCAACTCTGACTCTGACTTAGAGCAGATAACGTCTTCAGCTGCTGCAGACGGTCTTTCCGCAGACCTACTCTGATCCTTCACTCTTCTCCGGCTGACAGCTTTCATGTTGGAAGCAGCGTGTCTGATTACAGGCACATTGATGTTGATTGATTGCGTCTGCCTTTTTCTTTGCAGTTGTTTTTCCACACGAAGCAATAAAGAGCTTGGCTAAAACAGGCTGTCATTTTTGCTGTGAAGGGGAAAGTCTGTTTTTTTAATATCACAAGATTTCTCTCAGCTATGAGTTTAAACGTTGTGTTTCTTACCACAACATATATTCTACTACACAAAACCTCTGTGTCCAGATTCTCTAAACAGTAGGAACAAAATATGAGCTATGTCATATTTAATTATTTTCCTCATTTAGCCGTCCCCAGATGTATGTTGATGAGGTACACGGCTGTGAAGGTCGTTGCTGTGAAGGTCAGCTCAGATTATTTTGATTTCTCAGTGGTTCCCTCTTTCCAGCAGGCTAATAGTCCAGGCTGCAGGGGTGGTTTGTTAATGTCTGAGTCATTTCACACTCAGAAATCATCAGTTTAGTCAAGCTTCAGATAATTATGCTTTCATTAAACTTGATGCGCCTCATTTTGATTACAGCAGCTATTCTGCAAACAATTGTATTTGTGGATTACAGGGAATTACTTTTAAATTGGAGTCATTAGTGCCTTTAATCAACTCTGTGGTGTTGTGCTCATAATGAAGTCGAGCCCTTATTACACCAAGTTTAATCAGTGCGTTTCTACTAGGGCTGCTCAATTAATCGTATTTTAATCGCAATTACGATTATGGCTTGCAACGATTACAAAAACAACGTAATCGAAAACAAAATTATAAAAAAATAATTGTTATTGGTTTTTCAGTTGAATTATACTTAAAGTTCAGGGTAATCAACTGTTCAAAACATACTGTTAAAAAAAAGTTTCTCCAATAAATTGATGTTTTCAAAGTAAATGGATAATCATTTTTAATAATTGTGATATCAATTATTGACCCAAATAATCGAGATTATGATTTTTGCCATAATCGAGCAGCCCTAGTTTCTACACAAGCGAGGAATGTTAGGGGGGTGTTGCAGCCAGCATTCATTTGACTTGGCCTCCTCACTTCCAGCAGCAAAACAAATCAACAGTCATCAACATGCTCATCATCTCACAAATAAAACACACACACACACACACACACACACACACACACACACACACACACACACACACACACACACTGTGGAGAGCTTGGGCAGAGAACCGTCCCCACACTGCCACCCTGTGTGCACCGGTGGCCTCATTTCAGGTGAAAGAATGTAAAAATCATTTTTAATAGCTGCTTTATTGCAGTACTGCTGTCATTTTGAGGATTTGAATATGTAATTGAAAAAGCTATGCAAAAATGTGCTGATGATAAACGTGTTCAAGACAAGTGTATCGATAAGTAATGATCTTGAAGCGTCAGATAAAGTGGAAGAAGTAATGTGTGTTGAAATGTCAGCTGTAGTTCAAACACTATAACAGAAAAGGAAGTTGTCCAATTTAAAGCCTAGAAGGGTGTTACTGGTATGGTCAGCACTGGAAGTGTTTACAAGAACATAAGACCTGGATTCTTGTACTTTTATATTCACATACTAAAACAAAAAATGAAAAAATTCAGCTAAAATATTGATGTGGAATAGAGAAGAAGTCAGCAAATGATCTAAGCTGGAAAATGTTCGCTATATTCATGACAACCAAGTTTAAATAGTACGCTAAGGGTTTTGTCTGAACAACCGGCTTCCTTTGTGTCTCTAACCAGGAGTGACGACGAGACCCTGCAGAAGAACAACGCCTTGAAGCAGGTTCGGGAGCTGCAGGCTCACCTCGCTGAGCTGCAGGAGGACCTGGAGTCGGAGAAGATGTGCCGAAGTAAAGCTGAAAAATTGAAGAGGGACCTGAGTGAAGAGCTCGAGGCCTTGAAGACGGAGCTGGAGGACACGCTGGACACCACCGCTGCCCAGCAGGAGCTCAGGTGCTCATTGAACGCTGCTTTATTAATGAAATAAAGGGGAACTCATCAAAGCATCAAAGCCTGATTACAGGTGTCGGGGAGTCCTACTGCACATGGGTTAGGTTTAGGGACATTTTGGGAAATGAGTGACATCCCTCTAATCATTGATTAGAGCTGAAGTTTAAAAATGTAACATCTTTTAATGTGGACCAAGAAACAGGTGAGCCAAACACATCTACTGTATATACTGCAGCTGTAACTCTTCCCAGATTGAGGATAATAGCTTAATGCTACATTAGCAGGTATTAGCATTGGCAGCAGCTTGATAATACTATTTTACAAACATGCATAGATTAGTTTACTAGTTCCAAGATCTCGTATTGTTTTATTTTCTCCTCTTTTACATGTCACAGTTATCTCCATCACTATAATACGCTCTTCTTTGTGTACAGTTACTTTTTTTTTTTTGTTAAGCCGACAATAGCAATGAGGCCTTGCCTGTTAAGATGTATTGTGTCAAGGAGGGTGTGCTCTCCTATTAAACGTCTTTATTTTGTGTCTGCACTCCAGGTCCAAGCGAGAGCAAGAGGTGGCGGAGCTGAAGAAAGCCATAGATGATGAGACCAGAAACCACGAGGCCCAGATCCAGGAAGTGAGACAGAGGCACGGCACGGCGCTGGAAGAAGTGTCCGAACAGCTGGAACAGGCCAAGAGGGTGAGGGGCTCGTACCTGCTGACACTCGCAGAGCCTTTAGTCATCCCTTGTGTGTCATATTTACACAGAGCATGAAATGAAACTGGAAATGGACTGACATGTATTTGTGCTGTGTGCAGTTCAAAGCCAACCTGGAGAAGAACAAGCAGAGTCTGGAGAGTGAGAACAAAGAGCTGGCTGTTGATGTGAAGAGTCTGCAGCAGCTGAAGGGAGAGTCCGAGCACAAGAGGAAGAAACTGGAGTCTCAGCTGCAGGAGTTCATGTCCAGGACCACCGAGGTAGAGAGGGTCAAGGCTGAGCTGTCGGAACGCTCACACAGACTGCAGGTAAACGCCTCCAGAGACAGTCAGAGACGTAGCCTCAGATTACTCTGGGAACACAACCATGATTTGAAAGGGAATATTCATGGCACGCTGGATTTGTTTATTGTGGTTTCATCATCTCCCAATTTGTCTTTTCTCAGACGGAGCTAGACAATGCGTCCGCTTTGCTGGAGGAGTCGGAGAAGAAGGGCGTCAAACTGGCCAAGGAAGCTGACAAACTGAACGGCAAACTGCAAGACTCTGAGGTGCCCAGACAGAAACCACATCAGACAAGTTTAAAGCTTCACTTGGTTTAGAATCAATGTTAAAGTCACAATAAGGTGTCACATATTTGTCACACAAATGTTAAGTTTGAACAGCAAGATGGCAGCGTTGTTCTTGATGCACATGAGAGCAACGCTTCAAGAATAATGTAGACAAAGGAACAAGGTGTTTTAAGGTAACCTTCGATCATGGCATACAGCTAATTGAACAAATTCTAATTCATTAAAAAAAATGGTTGCTTTGATCTCACCAATTAGCATCTGAAAGGTATTTGTTGCTAAAATAACTTTCTGTAATGATCCTTCCTGGTGTAGGAGCTGCGTCAGGAGGAGACACGTCAGAAGCTGAACCTGAGCGGCCAGATCCGGCAGCTGGAGGTGGAGAGGAGCACCCTGCTGGAGCAGCAGGAGGAGGACGAGGAGGCTCGACGCAACCTGGAGAAACAGCTGCAGACAGTGCAGGCTCAGGTGTGCTTCCTGTAGATATTCCTACACATACACATCTGAATGTCGTAGGCACACACACATACTGTATGATGAAGGCCCCACTGATACTGGACTGAGGGCCAGGCTCAAATGTCCAGATGTTTACCAGTTGTTTACACCTGCCGTTGATGTGCAGAGCAGCATGCAAACAGCTGTAAAGCACTGAGACTCTGCAGCAAATGAAAGACAAGTGTCTGGAGGCAGATGTTTCTCAGTAGGGAACTGACATTTTACTGATACACTTATGTTCAATAAAGATTCATTATGCATCAGTCGCTGAGATTTCTCATAGAATGAAAAATTACACCGCTCATCATTTCTCATTTGCCCCTCTTAACACCAACATTGCACACTGGGCTTCTGAACATTTCGCCAACACTTAATTAACATGATGAACTACTGTATGATGATCACTTGTTGCATATGTGACCCGCTCTATTAAAATCAGTCAGAAGTCACAACGGCTCATTTCAAAATAAACTTGGATTTGCGTAAAAAAAAGAGTTTTTCGGGGTTCGGGTGTTTTGTTTGATTTTAAATAAACAAAGTCTTGGCTTTCAGAATATGAAACTTTTATTTTCCAAAATCACACGATAAATACATTTTTGAAGCTTGTAAAAGGAAGAAGAGGCACCTCTCATTCGCACTCGGCTCTTCTGCAGCACCGCACCGCCCCCCTCAGCTGAAATTATGAATGAAAGGCGTATAGTAATCATAGATAACACGGCAGGGTCCGTGACAGTTTGTTTTCATCTGATTTCAAATAAACAAAGTCTTGGTTTTCAGAATATTAAACTTGTTTCGGCAAATCCAGATGATAAATACAGCTTTGAAGCTTGTGACGGAATAATTACAAGCGGAGAACGGAGTAACTTGACGTCACAGCCGGCATAACAACAGCTGGTCTTTCTCGTGAGGGTTTTCCCCGGGAAACAAACACAATACACACAAACGCAAAAATACACGAACACACACACACACGTATACACACACACACACACACACACACACACACACACACACACACACACACACACACACACACACACATACACACACTATATCTCTCTCTCACACATACACACACCCCCTCTCTCTCACACACAGACACACACACACACACACACACACACATACACACACACACACACACATACACATACACATACACATACACATACACATACACACACACACACACACACACACACACACACATACTCGCGCGCTTCCCCCAGATCAGTAATCCAAACTAAAATATCTTCCCTCCGTACTACTTGATCATTTGCTCTGCTAATAACCAATCAGATCGATGGATTCCAGAGAAGAGGAAACTTTGAAGGCCTTTTTCTCAAAATGATGACTTGGTGACAGTCATTATATAATGTGACATATTTTGCTTAATATTTGGAGTACAAAAACAATCCTTATGTCATTAGAAAGCTATGAATCTCCTCTTTCCAACAGTGTATACAACTCAAAATGTGTCTTCGGGTCAATGCGACTGATTTCGATAGAGCAGGTCACATATTATCTTTCCATGAACTCACTGATTTGAAAAATGCCGTCCTCTAGCTGTTTGAGACGAAGAAGAAGCTCGATGAAGATGTGGGCTCGCTGGAGGGCCTGGAGGAGGTGAAGAGAAAACTCCAGAAGGACATGGAGCTGACCACCCAGCGCCTGGAGGAGAAGACCATGTCCATGGATAAGATGGAGAAGACCAAGAACCGCCTGCAGCAGGAGCTGGACGACCTGATGGTGGACCTGGACCACCAGAGACAGATCGTCTCCAGCCTTGAAAAAAAACAAAAGAAGTTTGACCAGGTACACTCGACCAACAGATGTTTCAGTAATGTTAGTTTCATTGATTTAGATTGATATCAGTGTATTGAGGGTCCTTTTCTTTTTCTACACTAGCTGCTTGCTGAAGAGAAGACCATCTCTGCTCGGTACGCTGAGGAGCGAGACCGCGCGGAGGCCGAGGCCCGAGAGAAGGACACCAAGGCTCTGTCCATGGCCCGCGCTCTGGAGGAGGCCCTGGAGGCCAAGGAGGAGCTGGAGAGGTTCAACAAGCAGCTCCGCGCTGAGATGGAGGACCTGATGAGCTCCAAGGACGACGTGGGGAAGAATGTGAGTGACCTTTGACCCCTTAAATGACTGCTAAATGCCAAATGAAATGTTAAGAAGAAGCAGAGAGGCGTTACAAATGTAGTCTATTTGGATTTGATTTACAGCTGCATTGATATTGTAGCTGCCAGGTCTAACTAAAGAGTATAGTATGATCAACCAGGGTAGTTTTCATTTCAAACCTTTATTTAACCAGGTGAATCCCATTGAGATCATTGACCTCTTTTTAAGGGAGACCTGCTTCAGTAGGTTCCACATGAAGACATAAAAACATAAAACAACAGAAAAACAAAAAGGACATCAAACAGCATATTTACAGAGTTTACATAGCTAGTGACATTTACAGGTGCCAACAGTTTCAGATTGCATAGTATCTTTCCGTGCTTTAAAAACATGTAGTGGAACCAAATTGCTCAGTTTCCATTCTTTTGGCAGACTGTTCCAAGTTAGTGGAGCTGCGCACCTAAAAGCTTTCGTCCCTAAGTCAGTCCTAGCACTCGACACATTTAACAAAACCACATCATGAGATCTCAGGCAGTAGCTACTTTCAATTCGCCGTGTGATCAGAGAGCCGATGTAAGAAGGTAGTTTACCTAAGATGGCTTTGTAGATGAACATGTACCAGTGACTGAGCCTCCGTACAGTTAGTGAAGGCAAGCCTGCCCTGGCATACAGGGTACAGTGATGACTTAATACTTTACAATTAGTTTAAATGTTTGTCATAAAACTCTTAAAGATTATTCTTCCTTCTCGAAATCCTCTCAGGGTTTTCTCTGGCCCTTTGCTCCTGCCTCTCTTGCTCATGTTACTGTTTTCCCTGTCGGTGCGTCCAGGTGCATGAACTGGAGAAGTCCAAGCGGACGCTGGAGCAGCAGGTGGAGGAGATGAGAACTCAGCTGGAGGAGCTGGAGGACGAGCTGCAGGCCACAGAGGACGCCAAGCTGCGCCTGGAGGTCAACATGCAGGCCATGAAGGCCCAGTTTGAGCGAGACCTGACGGCCAGAGACGAGCAGGGAGAGGAGAAGAAGAGGTCGCTCGTCAAGCAGGTACACGGGGCACACGGACGATGACCTGGCAGTTTTTATCAGGTGTTTTACATCGAGTGCTGAAACACTTGGTCCCACCTGCCATGCCGTGTTGTTTTACTCCTCCAGGTGCGCGAGATGGAGGCAGAGTTGGAGGACGAGAGGAAGCAGAGAACTCTGGCCGTGGCCGCCAAGAAGAAGCTGGAGATGGACCTGAACGAGCTGGAGGGGCAGATCCAGGCCGCCAACAAAGGCAGGGACGAGGCTGTCAAACAACTCAAAAAACTACAGGTACACACACACATGTACACAGGTCAGATTATGAGTATAGGAATTTCTAGAGAAGAACAACTGAACCTCACTACTGTTAAGAAAACAGTAATGACTCCCGTTTAAGACAAGGTTATTAATGGGTTATAATTCTTTGTCTTACTTCTATTGGGATAATCATGCTCTTAGCTTGCATGATGCTTTGGGGGAGCTAACAGCAGGTACTTCTTTGCTACGGAGTCAGTGAGTTAGCTGTCGACCATAACGTGAGCCTTATTTTTAGCCTATACATTTTTACGTTTTGGAAATGTTGGCAGTTTACACACGGATGATCTCTACATTACTTTGACACTGAAGAACGTGTGGTTTCTCTGGTCATTTCTGTTCTAAGTGGCTCCTCTCAATGATTTCTAAGCAGGCTGTTTATTCACAATGGGCATTATAGATAAGTGTGAGTAAATCAGAAACAAAAACATATGATGCTTATGTGCCCTGATTTAATTGAAGGGTCTCAGATTACCCTAATGGGCTCCGTCAGCTGCTGTCATTACTGCTGACCGTGTTGACAAGCCAAATCAGATCGATGAAACGAACTGACTGACTTCCTGTTGTTTTTACGCTGGGATGCATCTGTATACCTCAGAGTATAAAAGCCCCTGGCCTGAGTGGTCCCTGTCCTGCTGAGTCAGCGTTTGACTCTCTGCTCCTCCCTGTCTCTGCAGGCTCAGACGAAGGACTATCAGAGGGAGCTGGAGGAGGCCAGAGCCTCCAGGGACGAGATCTTCACCCAGTCCAAGGAGAACGAGAAGAAACTCAAGGGCCTGGAAGCTGAGATCCTACAGCTGCAGGAGGTCATGCTCCAGATTATTCATTTAATGTCAAATGTATTAAATTAGAGATCAGATCATGTCTGGTAAAACCTTTGTAAGATGTCTTTTATTGATGACAGGCAAAGTGACTTATGCAGGGTTCTTATGGTCATTAAAAACCTGGAAAAGTCATGGAAATTCAAAATGTTAATTCCAGGCCCTGGAAAAGTTTTGGAAAACAATATTTTTCCCAAAGTTTTGTAAAAGTCATGGAAATGTAACTAAAGTTGCATCAAATATAACTTGTATTTTATCTAATCGCCGAAATAGTAATACTATAATGATAATAAATACTGTGTGGTATAGTAATGAAACGCAAAATGGCATTTAACGGTCGAGGTATTTTGCTGGTGAGAGATTTTAGTTGCTTTAGCCTGTAGAAGCTAGTTAGCCTACTATTTGATTTGTTTTAGATAGGCACAACATGTTTCATATGCAGACCTTATTTTCCTGTTCCATGTTCAAATAAACCATTTTCAGTGGTACCGCTGAGAGACTAATTATTTTGGTCATGGAAAATTAGGTAAAGGTCATGGAGAAGTCATTTGTAGAAAGTGTATGAACCCTGCTTATACTATGTATTCACTTTTCATCAGTTCCAGTCAGACTTCATTTCAGTTTCTTTGTGGAAAAATATCTTCTCTGTTCTGATCCTCATGTGTTGTTGTGTTGTTGTTGTGTTGTTTGTGTAGGACCACGCAGCGTCAGAGAGGGCCCGCCGACATGCTGAGCAGGAGAGGGACGAGCTGGCTGATGAGATCTCCAACAGCGCTTCTGGAAAGTCAGTGTCTCTGTTTCTACTGATATTTGAAAAATGTGTGTTCACATTCATTTCTGAGCAACCAGTGTATTTTCACACGTCATCTTTAAAACAAATTAAGATTAAATGTCCACTTTGTTTTATAGATTGCTGTAAGGAAAGTGTTTGGGTTGGTTAAACATGGAATTCATCAATCTGTGCACATCAGTCAATCGCTCTCTGAGTGTGATAAATGGGATATAATAAACCATGCAACATTAGTCAATATATTATGCTCTTTTTGTACAACCCTGCCTTTATGAATGATGTTGGAAAGGTATTCAATCTCCCCTTCAGGGTTCCTGCATGTCTCATTAATGAAATGTGTGTGTCAGGTCTTCGCTGCTGGAGGAGAAGAGGAGGATGGAGGCTCGTATCACCCAGCTGGAGGAGGAGCTGGAGGAGGAGCAGGGCAACATGGAGCTGCTCAACGACCGCTTCAGGAAGTCCTGCCTCCAGGTACACTGCACGTGAGACACCAGGAAGCTTCATGGAGCCGTTTGCTTTCATGTTTCAAAAGAAAAGAAACACACACAACATGTTAACTGAGGTCCATCAGCAAACACCCTCTGACCGTTGTTCAGTAAAGGTGTAACTCTCAATACATCAGTTCCCACGGTGCATCAGTTCCCACGGTGCATCTACCCGACCCTCTCTCCTCTCTCTCTCAGGTCGACAGCCTGAACACGGAGCTGACCGCAGAACGCGGCACCGCACAGAAGAGTGAGAACGCTCGGCAACAGATGGAGCGGCAGAACAAGGTCTCATATACTTTGTTAAACTCACTAGCATATATGGTATATAACCTACCCAAAAGTCACGTGTTATGTTCGTAAGTAGGTATGTATCATATTTAATGTTCAGGATTCTAACATTTACATATTATAAACGCAGGATTTGAAAGCCAAGCTGGCAGAGCTGGAGGCGACTGTCAAGTTAAAGTTCAAGGCGTCCATCTCTGCCCTGGAGGCCAAGATCCTGCAGCTGGAGGAGCAGATGGAGCAGGAGGCAAAGTATGAGACGAACTCATCACTACAGCATGTCAGAGGAAATGCTGCATCCGTTTGAGGAGAGAGATGGATAGACACTTTATTGATCCCAATTTGGGAAATCCTTTCGTCACAGAAGTGTGTTCAGACATTAAAATAAAAAACTGGAAAAGAGAAAAAGATGTAATAATCTTGATTTGAAAAATGTCTATTCAACAACAAGTAAACATCCCAACATGTATTTAAAGACATTGAGGCTGCTAGTTAGAGATGTGTCTGCTCTTGCTACATTCATCATGTACAGGATGTAATGTGTCCTGTCTGTTTGAACCTGCAGGGAGAGAGCAGCAGCCAACAAGATTGTCCGTCGCACGGAGAAAAAACTGAAGGAGGTGATGATGCAGGTGGAGGATGAGCGTCGTCATGCCGACCAATACAAGGAGCAGGTATTGCGTAATGAGAGTCAAAGTGTATTTTCACTCAGGAGGGTAAACCGGCCAACCATCAACCGCTCTCTGTGCCCGCCTGTTTCCCCCATGTGTCCGTCAGATGGAGAAAGCCAACTCTCGCATGAAGCAGCTGAAGCGTCAGCTGGAGGAGGCGGAGGAGGAGGCGACCCGCGCCAACGCCACCCGCAGGAAGCTGCAGCGGGAGCTGGACGACGCCACGGAGGGCAGCGAGGGGCTCACCCGGGAGGTCAACTCCCTCAAGAACCGCCTCCGGTAGGGAGAGGCAACGTGCACTGCCACAAAAAATAAATTAACTGATAAAGTCACAACATTAAAGTTAGATGGAATAAAATAAATAAACTGTGAAAATATTAACTCTTGACATCCAGAAGTTTGGTTTGCTATGTTAGTGGCACTGGTGTCCAGTTATCCAATTTTGATCTATTTTTAGCTTGTGTATGAATTTGCAGGGCTTACCTTACGTGTGTCAGGTTGAAAAGGGAATAAATAGGCTGGCATTTAGTGAAACACAGACACACACTTCTATGGAGCCAGGAGGCGCTAACCTTAGCATGGCGATAAGTCTCACAACAGCTAGCCTGACTCTCTCGCAAGTTTAACAATATCAATACCTATATTCTCTAATGTCATCTTGTTTGTTTAATCCGTACCCAGCAAGTACAAAGCCTATTCTGGCCATGTGTCATACGTACAGAATAGTTCCAACATGTTACTCTTTTGATGGATTAAACAAGCAAGATGCAACAAGCCCCAGTGAGCTCTAGATTTTATAACTTTGAGTCAGGCTAGCAGTTTCCCCCCACTTCCATTCTTTATGCTAAGCTAACTACCTCCTTGCCACACAGACACAAACAAATGTTGAACTACTTGTTGAAGCATCAGAGGTTTAAGTTTGTCTTCTTCGCTCCTCCCAGGCGTGGCGGTCCGGTCAGCAGCTTCTCCTCCAACCGCTCGGGCCGCCGCAACCTCAACTTGGACGGAGCCTCCGTCGACATGTCGGACGACGACGCCGACAGCCGCGCCGGAGACTTCAACGACACGCAACCCACCAACGCCGAGTAAACACAGAAACACCCTCTCATTCCTCGCCCCCTCCCTGGCCTCTTCACTCACCTCCACCTCACCACCGGCGCTTAGTTCTCCCCCCCAGATAGATCCATGGCGTCACCATCCTCTTCCTCACTTCAAACCCCTGACTGGACAGACGGTTGGAGCGATGATTTTTGGTCACGCTGGGTGGAGTCCGCCTGTCAGCCCTTTTTGTATCGGTTAACACTGCAGGGAAAATCCATCGCCCTCCCCTGACGCCACGCCTCCAGTCCTGGAGGGTCTCAGGGGCCACGGACAACTCTGCCTTACTCCGTTCTCCTCCGGCAAGCTGCCAGTCCTGGCTCGTCTCTCGGCCATGTATCATCTCAGCGTCACGACGAAACACTCATCCCATCATCAGGCCCGAAGTTATCTGCTTATTGAGAAATTAAGCTTAGGTGCAAAGTGCTTTTTATATAAAACAGTAGGTGGAGGCTGTGTACACACATTAAGTATGTAACGTATGTGAACGCACCCCATACTGGAAATGTAGGACTTCAACGAAGCGTGTTTCACTCTGGTGTTGTAAGTGTTCTGCTCACTAGTTGTGTAAAAGCCATCTTTCCCCGCTCACTCCCTCCTCTCAGTGCAAGGTCAGCGTGTCCTTGGGTCGCCTCACCGGCTGCTTTTGTTGCATGAGTTTCCTTCTGATGACCGGACAGCGTCTCCAGGAACCCCAAACACCTCGGGACATGCAATAGAAGAGAGCCGACTCTAAATTGTAAGTGTATTACTGTGAAAAAGTGTTTGTTGCTTCATCTCAACTTTGAAAGAAAGAATGTGTCGCTGGGTTTTAACTAGAAACCTCATAACTCATAGGGGTTAACACATTCTGTATTATGCTCTAATGTGGATGGTGAGAAAGATGCTGGAAAATGCACGGAAATATATTTAAAATTTAACTGGAAACACAGAACAAAAAAAGCTCTTACTGGAAGCACTAAAGAGGCTAAACAGGTGGTTTGATTAGAAATGCTGACCGTCTGAAACGTAGTGAGAATATTTTCAGAGTTCGTGCCGGGCCCCAGTTTGGACTCACTCAATTAAACTACAGAGCTGAAGCATGAGTTTTTCTGTAAAAGAATTACCTGCCAATCTTTGAAAGATTTGAATTACCTTCAGTCTTTCCAAAGACTCTAATGTCAATATGGATGAAAGAAATAACAAAGAAATTCAATTGAACAGTTGTAACGGTTTCCCCCAAGTTGTCACACATTCATAAGGGTCTGCAACAAATGATGTTATATTTTTTCATATTAAATTATTTTATATTTTCATACATCCTTGTGAAATTCAAAAAGACATGCAGTCTTGCAGTATGGATAGAATATTAGGAAACAAATTGAAAAGCTCCATTCCTTTGGATCGATCCATCATAAATCCAAAACATTTAAAGAGAGACTCCATCAATTAACCTTATTCATCTTTTATTCAAGTTTATCTATCTAAGGACTTCGAGGACTCATCTAAAAAGTTTAAAGAAAACATTTGTTTGTGTGACAGACAGAACATTTCTCCTCCAGTTAGAAGTCTCTTTGGGATTTTAGGAGTGCTCTTAGGGATTGATCTGTAATAACTTTTCAGAAAAACGCTCCACTCTGTGCCTCAAATGTAACGTGACCTGACGCCAACAAACATGCCATGGTTCTGAGTTGAAGCCTCCATACTCCTGAAAGCCCTGATACATTAAGCACTTAGTACCCACAGGTGATGGACGGCTGAACAATTGTGTTACTCTTAATTAACAGTTAAACTACTACAGTGTAAAAAACACCCATATCCATCTATCAACCTTAGTTTCTTTATCATGAGTCAGCAGATTAGGATGGTTGTCGACGGCGGACTTCTCTGCCCTTCTCCTAAATGTAAACAGTATGTTTCTTTAAGAGTGCCTTAGACACTAAATAGGAACATAGCAGTGATTTCAGTACAGAAAGATTAAACAGGTAAACCAATGAGAACTTCAACGATTAAACTTTTTTCTTTCTTTTGTATTTTTGCTGTGCTTCATATCATACCCGCTGTGTACCTCCGTGTTCATAATAAACTCCTAGCTTCAGTGTTTAGGTCAGATCAGTATTACAGTATCTTTACAGTGAGCAGCAGCTGGATTCCCCAATGACTTCTGCACTGAGATTTAAAGTAACCTCTCAGTGCTGAAGTCATTGAAGGGAAGTGACGCTCTGCACAGGATATTGGTTGTTGTTTGGTTTAAAGCTTTAACATTCACAAGTAGTTAACTCGTTTTTATTTTATCATCATTATTATTATTATTATCCAGCTGGCTGTTGACAACCAGGCATCCAATTGCAAATACTCCCATCATTTTATTTCTTGTATACCTGTATTTCTAGACGGTAATTTTTTTGTTCTGTTTGTTTTGTAAAAGGAAAATAAAGCATATTCATTGTAGCCGTGACTGAGCTGTTTTGTTTGGCGGAGGGGAAGGGGGGTTTATAGTTAATAGTATGTTGAAAAAGTTATTTTATAAAATGTCAAAACATATAAAGTATGTCGGCAATATGAAGAGTCATTGTATGTCAAAAACATTTATGAAAATAACTCATATGTCGAAAATAGGAAGAAAAAGTTATAGTATGGTATGTTGAAAAAATATGAAAACGTCAGAAATATGAAAGGTGGTCCTATGCTATGTCAAAAAAATAATGAAATGAATCATAGCATAGTATGTCCGAAAAATATCATGAAAGAAAGTCATAGTCTAGCCGAGGACAAATGTATATAATAGCATGTTGAATATATCATCAAAAAGTGGACAAAGATGGCAATATAATATCAAAAATATGGAAAATGCCATAGAATAGTCTGTCGAAAATATGAGGCAAAAGCCTCAGTAAAGTTTATTGAAAAATGTAATAATATATATTTAGCAAAGTAGCCTGTCGAAAATATGAAAAGTTAGAATAGGCTATAAAAGTAATTGTAAAGCATGTCAAAAGCAAAAACATTAAAGCAAAATGAATGACTAATACTCACAAGTTTCTTGTGTGCATACCTGGTGCATATACAGTTCGTCCAAAGAAAGGAGAAAAAGTCGTCATGAAAACCACCTGTTTTGTTTAATTTAATAATTGACACACAAAATAATCTACAAAAGACCAAATTAATTAACCAGTTAACCACAAAATGTCATTTTATCCTCCGAACCCCCAAAGAAAGCACAATTTATAAGATGTCACCCACTGCTCCAGTCACATGACTTCACAATGACATGAAGGACCACACGTTGACACTTGTGGGTTTACATTTTGGGGGGAAATGTCAGAAAAATCAAACACACACAAACACACAAACACACACACACACTGACCGGCAGCACCCAATCTAAACAGTGAGCTACAGAACAATCTTTGGCGCCATCCCGGTGCCACCGGTCAGTCAGACCCACATGGAGGAGGAACTAGTGGAGGACAGTGAAAGACTCAGGAAGAACAGTTTTGTTAACGGAGGTATTCAGCAGAGGGAAGGAATCTCTACAGCTGTGTTCAGACAGAAAGGAAAGGGAATTTTAGCTTTAGCATTTCTGCTTTTTCTAAAACGGACAACGTTAGCCATTTAGTAACGGACACAGCAACAATTTATGTGGGGGTGTGGCGCTAGGCTCAACCTCCGAACTCATTAAAAACTCTTAATTATCCCTTCTCTCTTTTTTTCTAGTAGGTTTATAAAAGCTATGGGGCTACATTAGATAAAACAATACATAAATAACCGTAATTCGAGTTCCAAGTTGTGGCTGCAAGGGCTTAAAAGGCTTAATTAGCTTTTCGCGTTGTGAATATGTAGCGGCCCCTTTAAAATAAAATGAATGGATTAGATTTTAGATTTTTTTTTTATGCAAAAGCCAGGAAAGACACATTTGCAGCAATACTTGATATCTGAAGGCGGAGCTTATATATCAGCTGATATGAAAAACAATTACAACTTGGCCATTTGAAACATATTCCTGAAGACCTCTCACAATGTTTTCCTAAACGATTGGTTTGACGGCCAAGCGCCAAAGTGACTATTTTTCTTGTCAGTTCTCAACCTATTCTGGTTTACTTGTGGATTAGTCATGTGGTAAGCCTAGCAAAACTAGGCTTTGTGTAGACGAATGTATCTGCCCCAAAACTATTTATGTAAACGTACATTTACATTTCTCTTTAGCAACCAAGGTTATCGTAATGCCTCTAAACTGGAATGGAATCACACTTAAATTGACTTTCTAAAATGTGCTTCCCACGCTGTCTGAACACACAAAGGAGTCTTTAGTGAAATAATAACATCTACAAACATTCACAACTCCAGAAATGCACTGACAAGTTGAGTAGAGGTTGAAAGCCAAGCGACGACTTGCACTTTTGCATTGAGCGTTTTACAGTCCTGCATAGATATTCTTCTTATTTTATCGATACAAACTAAGGCGTTGTGTTTTAAGTTGATTTGAGTCAATAAGCAGAAAAAGTAAATAAAATAATCTTAACTCACAAAAAATAAAACAATTCAAGTAGGCTACAATCGTGACGTATCCCTCGCACCCGCCCCCCTCCCCCTCTCTCTCACAGGCGGCTCCAAAACTCTTTCAATTCAAGTCTTTTTTCCAGAAAAGGTCCAGTGTGATGAAACAGCACCAAAAACACACTGAGCGAGAGAGGGGCGTCCGACTCGCTCATTCTTGTCACAAGGGGAAACATGTCTTTACCATTCATACAGGATCATCTGGAAACAGTATATTGTGGTTTTTTCTGTACATACACACATTCAAATCAACTGCTTTCTCTCTCTCTCTCTCACTCACGCTATTACATGTTTTTGTCCCTGTGTAAATTACAAATAATTTATTAATATTAATTTAAGCTACTACTTAACAGTCATTTGTGGGAGCAGAGGTGACCAACGATAACATTTCTACACACAATTATTCCCACATCGGAGACGAAAAGACAGAAGAATTAAAAAATCATTATTCTGTTTTTTTTTGTTTTTTTGTTTTAACTGCAAGAACAAGAGTCCTGTGTTTCCACATAAGCTTAAATACAAATTATATTACATAGCGTAGTAGTACTCTCATCTGTATCACCACCTCGCTCACACTCATTCCACAGTGATCAAGGTCGGTCATATGTAAACATGTTGACAAAAAAATAAAAATAAGCAGAATAAAAATAAAAGTGTTCTCGTCATTCACTCTGTCTTGTTCTCATACCCGGTTCATTAGAAAACAGTTAAATTAATTCATCATTGTAGCGAGGATTCTCCTTTAGGTCCGTTTTAAGAGGCGGTGTAGCCCCGCCCCCTCACTCAACATCACCATGTCAGTCAATCAAAGGTTCCTATTGGTGGATGTGTCCAGGAAGCTGTGATGTCACCCCGCTGGTGTCCACCTCCTGAGCTGTTATTGGTCAGTGGGATTTCCTCTTCATGTCTCCGCCCTGGCTTTGGTTCGCATCTGAGTGGAGAGGATGGAGACTATTTAACAACTTTTACTCATCAATGGACAGCCTTCTGTACCAAGTTTAATAAAGACCCGCTCTGTGTGGATTTAAGATGCTCCTTATAGTGTTACATTAGATACACGTACAATAAAAGGTCTACCAATTTAACTTGGTATGTCAGGGGGTGCCTTACTTCCTGCGTCACACAAGTTATAGTCTGTTTGATTCAGTTGTTGTTTCCTTTGGGAAGGCTAGTCTCCCAACTGGTTGTTTTCTTTAAAGCTAATCTTTAACTAGTTTTTGGATCAATGATTTACAAAGAGACATGTGTATTATGTTTTGTTATATAATGTTGTTACTTCTACAACTGGAACGGCTTTAACTGTGACCAGACTTCCCTGCAGAATTTAAAAAGACATTTACCTGACGGCAGATAGATTTGACTAAATTGTTCTAAATTATTTTTGACATTTACACTGAGAGGCAACAAATAATCTGACCCACTAACCCATACTTTTGACACTGAGTCCAACTTTTGTTTGTTTTCTTACAAAGGTGCATGCAGGTTATCATATCGAGAGACACCGGGCATGCTGAAGAGTTTACTGATACGTCCTGCAAAACCACACTCATCGTCCTTTACCCTGAAAGCCTCTTCCTCAAAGTTTTACGAGACCTGGAAACCTTATTTTGTTCATAAACTTTTGTGTCAAACTAAATTAATTCTAGTATTTAATTTAAGTTAGTCACAGGGTGAAGAACTGTGTTAAAATGTTTGTCTACAGATTTAGACGTTGGGATGGTTCTTTGCCATGTGTGCCATAAGTATCCAGGTGACCCTCAGTCTCTGTTTACAGCTGTAAACACAGACTGCATTCAGACACAGATCAATCCATACTGTAGTTGATTGATGGTGGACAGTAGAGATAATCAGGCAAAAACGGAATTGTCACTGTGCATTCTGCAGGCAAATGAAACAACAATATAAATCTAAATATCTTTACAGCATGCAACTACTGTGTTACAACCACAGGAGCAAACCAGAAACATGCTAAACATCAAATATACTGAAGCAAGTCGAAAGATACAGAGCAGCCAAGCAGAGGACGACAGGTCGGCCTGACACAGACTGATGGGGGGGAGGGGGAGGAGGAGGAAGAGGGGGAGGAGGAGGAGGAGTGCAAATTACCTGAGAAAGCAAGTTGCAAGTGAGGAGGTAGGGCAGCCTGCGACCCTGACTGGAGACTCTTATACAGATCTGAGGAGAGATGGAGGGAAGATGAGAGGGAAGAAGGCAACACAAAAGGGGCAACATGAGTAACATGTGTAGTGAGGGGGGGGGGGCATCAAAATGGGAAACCAGCAACAAAAAAGGGAGATGATCAAAGTGAGGGGGCAGCGTGGAACAAAAGGTTGAGATGACAGACACAAAAGATGAGGAGAACAAAGGAGGGAGACGTTTGTATACAAAATGGAGACCAGGGAGAGGTGGAGCACAGTGGAGGAGCTGCTGCTTCAAAGGGAGCGCACACACATAACTAGACGTATACAAATCTAGATGCATCCCTTTCTCAGTCCGTTCTGCAGCCTATATAAATACAGATTAATAACGATTTGAGGAAAATATCAGTTTAAGTTGTATATATTGCTACTCCTTTCTTGTTTCTCTTGATCGATGTTAAGCGACACAATGCTTCTGCAGGTTGTGTGTCCCCTCACCCATTAGGTCGCTCTGTGCTAGTGTGTATCCTGAGTTGGAGCTGGGGACTGATCCCATGCCGGCGGCCCCCGGGACCCCAGGGCTGAAGTTGAGCAGCGGGGGGAACTGGAAGGGCTGCGAGAGGTGCACCAGGCCGCCCAGCATCCCGAAGCCCAGAGACAAAGGGGAGGGGCCGCCCAGGAGGGGGGAGCCTACTGTGGAAACCTGCAGAGACAGCCAGGGAGAGAGATCAACAGTTATGTACCGTATATATTTCCATTTATTTAGAACCGTCCGTGATGTGTAAAGCTGCATATAAAACATTTGTTTGCCCAAAAGACACTAACCAGGACTATTATCATAAAAAATAATGTCCTACAATATTGCATATTCAACTATAAAAAGTGTTTACCTATAGTTAATAAATCCAGAAAAAAGAGGTAACATGAATTTGAGTTTGATCTCGTGATATTAAAGCATGGACTAAACACTCAAAGAAATGGCGCTTTGCTGCAATTGCTCCAAAATGAATCCTTATGTCTTTTTAAATGCAGTTTAGTCTCTAGAATTCAATTAAAAAAGACATAATTAAAATATTTTCATAGATTAAACGCTATAAACCGAGCTATTCCGCTAGTGTCTAATGATGAAAGGAGGAAGATGTAAACATGCAAACCATGTAGCTACATACTTCTGAGACATTATATGACCTTAAAGGTGGGGTAGGTAATTCACTTCAGAAACACTTTTTGTTATATTCCATGGAATGCTCTTAAAATCCCGATAGCAATGAATACATTAAATGCTTTGACAATAAATATATATTTAAAAAATGTCATCTGTGGAAGCCGTGGTGCTTTAAAAAGCACGACCAATCATCTGAGCCGGCCCGGCTAAAATAACTGGATGGCCTACCTGCCTGTCAGCCTTCTATCTGTGTAAAAATCTTGTGCCCTCATTGGTCAAGGAAGTCTGAAGGAAGGGGCAGATTTTTTTCGGCTGCGTACTTTCAAATGCTAGTGCACTCGAGCTGGTTTCTCCATTCTTACCTACCCTACCTTTAACAAAAGCAAACTCAAACATAAAAGGTTCTTAATAAACTAAATCTAATAAACACACTCTAAAAACTAACCTAATATAAATTGAAGAGTCAAAACGAAAAACAATTAGAATTTAAAACTAATGAACCTTAAACCGACCTGTGGGAGGTGTGACGTTGTGGAGGACGAGGCCAAAGTGGCCCAGCTGTTTAATGCCTTTGGGCTCTGGTTAGCCCCGCCCACTACCCTCTGCCTCTGCGCGTGATTGGCTGAGGGTGCAGAAGACAGTTGAGTTTTGTCAGCCCGGCTGCAGACGGCTGATATCACTCCCTTGTTGATGACGGAGTTGTTGTTGATGCTACTGTTACTGGTGGTGGGCAGAGCTTTCTGTCCTCTGGCGAAGCTGTAGGTACTCTGTGGCGGCTTCACCTGCGCCCCCCCGCCCCCCGATACACTGAAGGGGGGCCGGAACGCTTTGGGGGTTTTGAGGGAGAACTGGTGTTGTTGCTGTTGGCTGGAGATCATCTGATGAGAGAGCAGGTGTGAGGGCGAGGACGACGGGGAGGGGGAGGAGGAGGGAGGGGGGGTCGGCGCCGGAGGCCGAGGGGTGAGCTTGATGATGTGGGAGGAGTTGCTGCTGTGGGACGACTTGGTGAGTGTGGCCTGCATGGGCGTGATGAAGTTAGCCTGGTGGTGGTGGTGTGTGTGGAGCTTACCTTGAGAGGAGGAGTGTGAGGAGTGTGAGGAGTGGGGGGAGGGGGAGGGGGAGGCGGATGGGGAGGAAACCACCAGAGAGGGAGGGCAGAAGGACTGCAGGCCGGGGTGGGAGGTGGAGTTTGAGCGAGACATTGAGGAGGGGGAGGAGGAAGGCGTGGCGCTGCCATTGCTGCTGATGGTTTTGCTCTTGGCCAGTCCTCCCAGAGATCCCAGCAGCCCCCCCGGGCCCACAAAGGCCTTCTGATGGGGTGGCAGCAGAGGGGAAGCCGTGGGAGGGGGCCGCTGCTTTGGAGGCGAAGGGGACGGGTGAGGATGCATCTTGCCGTTCCCGCCCATCACTAAGCCTGTCCTGTGATTGGGCGTTGCCATGGTGAGGAGTCTCTGAGGCTGTGATTGGCCCATAGAGGCAGATCCTTTGATCAGGCCGTAGGGTCCCTCTGCTGTCCGTGAGGCCAGCGACAGGCCGGCTGCCTGCACTCGAGCCAAGCAGGAAACAGCGGGAGACGAGGAAGAGGAGGAAGAGGAGGTAGAATAGGCGGTTGGTAGCGTTGTTGTTGTTGTTGGCAGGTTCCCAGCAGCTGCCAGCGGAGAGGGCTCCCCCCTCGACAGGGAATGAAGCTGCGTTGTGGAGGCGATGGAGGCAGAGAGCTGAGAGGCTGAGGGATAGTGAGGAGTGACGGGGGGAGGGGAGGAGGTGGGCATCTGGAGGGGCGGGGGGGACAGAGGGCTGTCTGAGAAGCCCAGGCCCTTCGAGGCGTTGCTGAGGAGGGCCAGAGCGTGGGAGATGGAGTCCAGCGAGGGAGCGGTCAGATCCTCATCCAGCGAGTCCGACAGACAGATGGGCTCCGGGGGCGAGCAGGAGGCCGGTTTCCGGTGTGAGGTCAGAGCGGAGGTGTGCAGAGACGAGGTGGAGGTCATGCTGAGAGGGGGTTTGTGGATCCAGAGACCCTCCTACAGAACAGAACACACGGAAAAGTGTCAGTACCTCAGAGGCAGACAGAACCAGGACTTCATAATTTTCCCTTTTCCTCAATTAAAAAAACTCAAAAACATACATTATACTAGGGATGGGATGTTATCATAGATCACAACTAAAAACACACATAAGTTATTCTGGTGGATTTCAAATATCAAGATAATTATGAATATCCTTACATGAGTGACTTGAAAAAGCTGTCTTGCTCTCTTTTGTGGGAAAGAGGTTAAACAAACCTAATTATTGATGTTGGTTATTCCAGTACGTTTCAGAACCATTTAAGAGTCGGGCAGCATACTTGTTGATTATCATGGGGATAATGTAGTCAATTGCAATTATGAGGGATAATCGTGACAGGAAATTGTGTTGGCCTATGCCTCCATTGCCTAAATTGCAACATCTAAGCAGAGCAACAAATAAATCCAGTTCCTGTCACTGTTAAAGGTTGCAATTGTGTTGCAGATATAGATCTAAGTGGGTGTTCAATTCTTGCAGCATTCATTTAATAGGAAGGCTTTTAATGTGATTTTCTGGTGACTGTATCTTAACATTCATCATGCTTTATGTAACATTATTTCTTTCCAACAGAGCTCTGCTGTGGAAATAATACTCAATTTACTATGTGAGCTCCAGTGGGTTTATTTTACCCGGCTAAGACCCCTGGTTATTGTGTGAATTACACATTTTATAACCACCCTAAAGCATAGTCATAATGATATAAAAGAAGAATTGTTCTTCCATGTTTATCAGTCATGTTAAATGAAATGAATACTAAACAGCAGATCTGTTTTCAGAACTGAGCAGATGACATATCATGAGTAAAGTATATTATATTGTTGCTTCATGCTAGAATGCACTTTGGCAAAAGGGTTATGATCCAATTAACATTGTGGGTTGAAAATAAATCTGTACTAAAACCAAACTCAGTTGGATATGTTTAGATATTATACAGTATATGATCATGGCTGTCACTCACCTTGGCTTTGGCCCTGGGCCCAGGCACCATTCTCCTCTTGACTCTGTATGGAAACATGAAAGCAAATGCTTAGCCTTTAATTTTTACATTTAGCATTTAAGCTTAGTCTCAGAGAAAATAATCAAGAAGTTACCGTTACTGAGCTGTGTGAAATAAATCCATACTTACAGGTTTCCAGTGAGGTGACTGTGAACAGCAAGACTCTCCTTTAGCAGAATCCTGAGCAGAGGAAACAAACTGTGATAAGAACATTTTATCTAAAAGTGTATATATTTAGATACACAAGTTTGTTTGTAGAGATAAAAAAACAAACTGCCATGGAACGAAAAGTTATTCAATTACAGCTCATTTTACCACCCGACAAACCATTTTGCACATCTCAAGCAACATATTATTGTTTACATTCATCTTTATACATTTCTAATTATTTCTCTGAACTGAGGTGATTGTACTGTGTTTGTTTTATCAATAAACTCTTCTGCGTATACTCATTTTGTTGCTTTTGTTGTTATATTGCCACTTTTTTATCTTTTTTTTTTAACATGTAACGAGTGGCGGTTCTAGAACATTTTATATGGGGTGGCAAAGGGGGGGCAAGAGGTCATGCCAGGGTGGCATGGGAGGGCGGACAGTACGTGGTCTTTTATACTGTATACAACCTATTTATTGTTAATTCATGCCCTAACACAAGTGTTCTTAATGCACAAGAGAAACAAGGTGTTCAGACTAACAATCGGGTGCCCTTTGAGTCCCCCAAGCTTACTTCAATAATTTTAAATGAAAGGAAACTACAAAATGTATTTTAAAGCAATGAATTAATGGAACAGGTTGTTTTGCATTACAATGTAAAACTAAATATATATATATTGTTTTAAAAAAATTGGTTGTCTTAGTATTAGACAGACATATTTGCATATCCTCACTAAGCATTATTACATATTAATTTAATATTAAACAAATCAAAATGGCCAATTATCCCAAAATGTTGCTGCTAATATAATCATATGCTTGTCAACTTTAACTGATCAAAAAGAAATTCTGAAAAAATACTTGAATTATCTATGAAATTGCAATATTGACACACGTCCCTCAGTTCGTTTCAACCCCGCCACGCTATACCATTTACCCTCCTATTAAAATAATGGATCAGTCCATGTGTGATCTGCATTGAGGGAATTACATCACAGAAGTCTTTTGAAGGAAAGATGGCAAAGAAAGGCAAGTGTCAGTTTCTTCTCTTACCTATATTTCAGTTTTTGTATTTTCAGATTAAGATTGACAAGCTCAACTCTGTTATATGAATTAATAATAGTAAATAATTGTTTATTACAAAATAAACAATATTTTTGCAAAATATTACAATTTTCTGTAATGTCCTTGACCTTCCATGTGGCTGCCATATCTAACTAAACCAAAGGTCTCGATGGATCACTTTTTGTCAAAAACTTCAACCTCTGTTTTTTCAAGGAAATCCTAGGTAATTTTATATGTTGACCTTGAGTGGAAATGTAAGCGATATCAACCACCTACCAGATGTTTATGTTACCGAAACATTTTTGGGTTTTCCATTTTCAAAGGCATCGTANGCTCCCGATCCGATTCCGATCATTTGATTTTGACAATTTGCCGATACCGATCTTTCCCGATTCGATCTTTATGCAATGCATTAAGAGAAAAAAAAGCATAATGCTTTTTTTTCTCTTAATGCATTGCATAAAGATCGAATCGGGAAAGATCGGTATCGGCAAATTGTCAAAATCAAATGATCGGAATCGGATCGGGAGCAAAAAAAGGTGATCGGGACATCCCTAATAAAAACCCCACCTAGGGACACTGTCAGTGCTGATGCCTGTCCACTCTTGGAAGCTATCGCAGCTGCATACATGACCGTTCTTTGACACGTTTTTTATTAAAAGCATCAGCATTTTCCTACGACACATTAACATATATGATAAAATGTAGCTTCATGTACGGCAGCGAGTTCACCTTGACTGAGCAGCGAGGGTAATTATGTAAAGTATCTGGACCACTAATCAATGACAGATGTGCAGAAGGTTCTGGAGGTCTGCTTAAACACCCTGTCTTTGTTAGGTAACACTTCATTTAACATCCCATATGAGTTCTGACTGGCTTCACACCAATACTGAGGTAATTAACAGATCCCTGCGAGGTTTAGACACCCTTCAGCTGTAGATGCAGTTAGCCAATCTGTTTGACTCCAAAGGTCATAAATCAATGGCAACAAATTATACATCTCAAATGTTCTTTCTTGTTCAGATGGCAACTGACACTGCAAAGTCTAAACATGATGTGTGAAAGTCTGATATTCATCACTGTGATTTAATGAAACATTCTGTAATAGCACGGTGTGGGCCGGACAATATGGTGACCTATAATGTGAGACAACGCAAGCTTGTCAAAAATGTTGCAAGACAATGTATACACTGTTAGTTATACCTTTCATATATTTTATTGTACAAGAATAGAGCTTTAAGTATCTTTTGTTTCATTATTCTGTTGATAATGTTTTCCATTTATCAAATTATTGTTTATCTTATTAAAATGTGAAATAATGATCATAAAAATGTCAAGAGATCAGGTTGACATTTAAAATTCTTGTTTTGCCCACCAAAACCCAAACATATCCAACTTACAATGACAGAGAAAAGTTGAAAATGAAGACAGTTTTCTAGAAATTGAATAATTAATAAAATGATTAATTGAAAAAGCACTATAATGCATCATCATTTAGAGGACTGATTTACAGTATAGCAGTATTCAATATTTGTTGGGCATCAAATGTATTCAGAGTCTTGATAAGTGAGGTGTTTTCCATTCCTTTCTGGCTCTTTTATCCGTGAACTGTTAATTGATTTTACAGAAAATGCGTAACACTACAGTATTATAAAATGACAGAAACCTTAGTAGACAACTTGCCGCATATCAAATCATTGTGATAATATCAGCCTAAGTATTTGGGTTTCAAGAGTCTTTATTGGCCACTTGGAGAAAAGAGTAAAACAAAAACAACACCAGTGCTAATCCGTGCAGCTGGATGTTATTACATTAACCAGGTTGCTGAAATGCTCAGGGCTGCGGCTGAACAGCAGCTGGCCTCCACTAATCTCCAACCTACAAACCTCCTTTTGAACCACACTGTTCATTCTGAAACGACCACAACTGAAAAAGGGTTGGAGTAGCGGTGCATTAAAAATCACAAATCACGCTTGAGTAATCCAAGACATAAAGTAAACACATGCAGCGTCTTACGGGGAATGAAGCTTGTGGTCATTTACTTAAGAAAGCAGAAGTATGTTCAACGCATTAGTAATTGACAGGTCGCCCTGCCCTGCCCCCACGTGTTTATGTCCATCCATGTAGAAACGTGGTGTGTAGAGAATAGAGGGTGTGAAGAAAAGAGGAGGAGGTGATAACAATAAAATAGCGGGACGAAACGACGAGCTGGCAGAGTTCAACAAAACCCACAGCAAGGCAACTACTGAAACTGTTCCTGTGCTAGACCATCATCAGCTTTGAAGAGATAACTCAATTTAATCAACATCATCATTAGACCAAAGCCTAAAGACTACAAATACAGGAAAACTATGTTTATAAACTGAATATTTGTGGTAAAAATGGGGAAGTAGGTATGTAGTAAGTTAATGTCTTGCGATTCTCACTTGTAAAGAGTTGTTTAAAAGAGTTTAAAGAGGGGGAAACAATCATCAAGCTACTTGTTGACATGAGCGAAACTTGCTTCTGTGTACCAACACGAGGAAAGCAAAGCCGAAAAGGACTGACGGGACTGTCCAGTTTGTCACCACCCCCACTGGTCGGCCCTCACATCCACACAAAGGACTTATTGTTGAGCACAATGGGGTCACCCTCTCTGTTCTCGCTGGTCTGATCCCAGTCAGTCACTGCTCTTAGAGCCTGGAAACTCGCCAACGAGCAGGCAGGGATCTTTGAAGACATCGTTCTGAGTGGACGGCCTTCACTTACAAGATTGTGTTTCTTTCTAAATGTTCAAAAGGTTAAAATCATATCAGTGCGATAACTCAGGCAGCCTAAAAGCCACAGATGCACTGGGAAAGATATGCAAACATTTTGAAAATCAGCACTAAGCCACTATTCATATTTGTGTGGAAAAACAAGAGATAGTGGCTTGAAAATGACTGTATTAATGCCCTTCTGCAAAGCCTGAAATGAATTAAGATTCTAAAAATTGTAGCTTTATTTAGTTTGTTTCATTTTTGAAATGTCAGCTTGTGCACTAGGTGAAATTAACATACTTAGATTTTTTCAAACATAATTTATTGCCCTTTTCACAACAGGGCATTCCTGAAATGACCTGCAAAATCACAAACTTGATGTGGAGCATTTGAGAACAACATCTGAGAAGACAGGACTTCACAGAGCAAGAACAAACTTTTATATTTTGGACAAACAACTTTGATACCTGGGCACCGGCAGCCCACGCAGATATATCAGCCTTTAGTACAAAGCAAACAAAGCACATCCTTGAATGTTGGCTGAGACATTTCAGGTGGCATTGAAATCACTTAGATAATCACATTATGCCTCTTTTCACATATAAAATAAGTTGAGTGGGTGTGACCTTTTAAAAAGGCGATGCAGGTGCTCAGGTTTAAACAAGCTAGCTTTTAACAGAAACAAATTAAAGTCCATACATTGACATTAAGGGCATTTTGAGGTAAGGTAACACTTACCTTGTAACATGCATCTGTACGCAGACTCTGAGATGGCGTAGATGTGAGGGGGCATTTCGTGCCTCTTCTTGCCCCTGTACATCTCAATGATGTTCTCTGAGTAGATGGGCAGGTTTTTGTAGGGATTGATGACCACACAGAAGAGACCGGAGTATGTCTATAAACAGAAAGGAAAACATGGTTAAAAGTCAGACAGCAACCCTCCCATCATCATTAGCTCACAGATACTATTTTACAATACCTGTAGAATTATATTTGTATTCATTACCCTAACAATGTTTTTTCAGTCCTAATTGAATTGCTATATTAACATTTTTCCTGTCCGCACCAAAACAAAAAGGCCTCATTCAAGAACATTTTAATACTTTGTCCTCAACGTCTATATCCTGAACATCTAAAATGTTCCATGAGTAGGTGCAACTTCAAATTGGCTACCAAATGAATGGCTACCTGTTCTGCTCTATAGCAGTGGTTTGTGATGATCCAAAAGGGGGTGATTTTACTAACTGTAAAGTGGAAGGGTTCCTCAGTTGAATAATGCAGGGAGACATGCAGGCAGACAGGAAAGGACGGGGTTAATCCCTGACATGTCTGCTGCTGGTGATCTCCATTAACTCAAGAGTGCAGCGGGTAGACAGCAGACACTGCCGGATTATGGCTGTTTGAGTCACACATCAGTGACTGGGATTAGACATCTTGACACAGCATAACAATAGAAATGTTTAATGCTGAATGAGGAGCACCCATCTATCCATTGATAATCATGCTTTAAAGTTTAGATTTAAATAACGTCTTCTCTAATTAGCTGCATTAAACATTAGTTGATGCAACGTTAATGACCTTTTACTCCTATAGGTTGTGTGCCTCCCCTTTTTTCACCTTTCGGACCTTTTTGTTTAGCTGTGCTGCAAAGCCACATTCTGTAAATGATGTTGTCTGTGATGGCCGGTGGGCTGCAGGGGCCCCGGGCCTGTAACCCAGTTGTTGAGCTGGAACAATGGTGACATGACCGAAGCATGCTGTGTGAGGGGGGATTTTGTCTGTGCGTGTGTGTGTGTGTGTGTCTAAGTGAGAGAAACACACTGACAAACACATCACAACCGTTGCCAGGTTGGAGGGTCACACCGCACCATCACACATACACAACACATATCTGCCGTCTGATACTGGGGAGCCTCAAATTGCATTGTGATGTTACTGCAACTCCAGCTGGGCCGTAATTCAATATTATCACTTAATATATACATTGTTTATTATGGCATAAATTATATTTAAATATATTATAAATTGTAGGATATTGTTCTACTCACATACAAAAGAAAATGTTTGGCTAACCAGAGGCTAAACATTATTCATGTTGTAATATTGTAGTAGATATAGTTGAATTTCAACATAATAATGATGTTAAATCATTCAATTTTACCCCAAAAACTATTCAAATACAGATTTTAATGAAATACAAACGCTGCTAGCAATGGAGCCCGAAGGTGTGAAATAAGAACTCTTGGATGTGCATATATTACAGTAACACACTGGTGTGCTGGTGTTGGTCATGTGTGTGTGTGTGTGGTTTATGTCACCAGATGGCCTTCAAAATCCCCCTGCGCTCCTCTTCCGTGTGCACAGATGCTTTAGACACAGCTCTGTGCCTCAACCTGGCCACACAAAGATTTTGTTATTCTGAACTCGCCAGCAGCAACACTTTGAAACATAACTGAGGCCAATACTCACACCTTGCTAACTGCAATTGCCTTTAAAAATATAACCCATGCAACTCAGGATGTACTATAGGCCCCTCGCAATAATTACCCCCTCCCAGGCCCCTTCTTATGGGCGCAGCGCCAGGCAGACAGATCAGCGCTCCTGACCCAGCATGGGCCACATGCAGAGGGGAGCAGCGTGACTCAGCTGGCTGTCCTTGGCGGGGGACCCCGGGGGTATTTGAGGGATTAGTGGGAGTCTGAGGGCAAGCAGTTGGACACCTACACAACCAGGCAAAACAACAAACCAGCCAGCAAGCTAGTTGTGATTCATTCCTTTCTCAAAATGCAGACTTTGACTCAAACAATCGATACAGTCAGTTTAGGCCGCTGAACAATATCACATTTTTGCCAATATCTGATATGCAGACATTTTCAAACTTGTTTTGCCAGATTGTCAATGCACTGCAGTCACTGATTTATGTGTATATATTTGTTCCACCTAATGGTACAATTGTGTTGTGTAGTTTCCTTAAAAACTTCTATTTTTTTTTTTTAAAAGTGCTCACTCATTCACTGGGCAAAATGACTGGACTGTCATATCAGAGAAAATTGTTTCTGGACGATGCCTACGTTTAATTTGAAATACTTTATTTACAGTTACTGAAGACGTTAGGATATCATCTACTACATATGCATCTCAGAGATAATGCAGCTGCATATTTTGACCAAATAGATGGGTTGGAAGAGATAGTCAACAAAGTCCTAAAACAACAACTCAAGAGAATGTGAGGAGGACTCTGAAACTGTTGAAAGGGCTCCCATCCCTCCGGAAATGTCCAGATAAATGTCTGGGAACCAAGCAGTGCTTAGCAACAGGGCCTCTCTCAATGGGAAAAGGGGAAACATTTTCTTCTGCTATTGCATGAATCAGTGCCCTCCATTCAGAACTTAGTGGGCTAACTGGGCTGTACCATATTCTTAAACACTGAAAATCATGTGTCTATGCCGACTTCCTAGGGAAATATGAATTCCATTTGCCTCACACGACACATATTCCATTATTGCCTGGACACAATATGAAGTTTGGTTCTCTTTATTTCACTCAACAGCACTTGATTAAAATGACAAACCTATCATCACTATGTTCTTTGTTGACTACCTACAAAAGGAGCCTTATTCAAACAGCTGAGAGAGTTGATCCTACACGACAGAATTCAACTATTAACATGATGCAGTAAAAAAAGAAATGTTAAATGCTAAACATAGTGTGAGAATGTATAAACAATAGACTGTGAATATAACGTTACCGAAAGGATTTCTGAAGAGCCTTTGTGAATGAAATGAAAGTAGAGCCATCATTGAAGGTCTATTTCTTTATAAAAGACATTTGGGAGAATCTTCTGTCCAGGTTTCATTTGTGAATAAAGAGACGCATGCTCCAGTAAGATGTAGGCTCTATGAATAGAGAGACAGCCGGTCGATAAAGGCGAACATGATGTTTCCACATAACGCTCTCAGTCTGCAGCGGTCAACCATCATCTTCAGGATGAGCACTCTGCTCCATCAATGCAACAAAGGATGAGCATATAGGCATTCAATAATACATCACAGTGACATCGTTACCACTGTGTAGTCCGTCCTCCTTTATCCTCCGCCACTGGCTTGAATCGTAATTGTTCAATCAATCAGCAAAGCCAGGTATCAAATAGTATATCCATCAAACGTTCAATGAATGAAACATTTTGCCATAAGCCATAAGTCCATAAAGTCGTTTTTAAATGTTTTTCCTGTTTTATGATTTATTGTCCACTAGTTTGAAGCATGATGATTACCTGCCTGCTGAGCCGATGGAAGTAATCAAATGTCATTCGCTTCACACTTGGGGACTTTGGTTTTGAGGAGAAATTTAAAAAAAGGGCAATTTAGCAGCATGAGGATTTACTCAGCATGCAAACTGAACCAGAGGAAAGAGATGTCGGTAACCCTGTAGAACAGCAGAGACATTTAAAGATGACATGGATTAGCTGTTGATTAAGCATCGGTTTCCAGAAAAAACCCACTGAAAGAAAAATTCAGTTATTTGAGCAGACAGCTGTTGTTTATCAGTGAACACAAAGAACTCTGTTAAGGCAGTGTGGTTACAGCGTGACTCAGCATGGGCCTCCCTGAGCAAAGAAATGGGGCTGGGGTTAGTCTTTCCCCTTAAAAGCCCTCTGAAACTATTGTTAAATACAAAGATGTTCTTTATTTTCAGTCGAATAAATAAAAACTGAACTTGATGTCTACACTGCTGGAGCTCACGTAGGAAGAAGAGAGAGTTCAGCTCATGAAGAATACAATTCTGGAACCAAGGTCTGCAAAGAGATTACCTCTTTTTTTACATCTCTAAGTATAAAACAGGGGTGTCCAAACTATGGTCCGGGGGCCGACCATTTTGAATCGGCCCTCTGCAAATTCAAAAAGTATAATGAAATATGGCCCACAAATTAAACTTGTCTTATATTGCACTTCTTAAATATAAATGTAAAAATATATTACACAGTAGTATTCATGTGGTAATAAGACCACTTTTTAAATAAATTCAGTCAATTAAAGTTGGAAACATTTTCCAACAAAAAAAGCCCAATGACCAAGTTTGAAATATACCCTTCCTATTTCTCCTTATTATAATCAACCTGAGGGTTCTGTTTTAAGGGATGAGCTGCCAACACTCACAAGCATCATTTACCTACATTTGATTGATTTTGCTAACTTGTAACTGAACTTATGAGGCAATAAACCTCTAGTTAATGGCCCAGCCCTTCGTATATATTTTTCTGTATGTGGCCCTCGGGGAAAAAAGTTTGGACACCCCTGGTGCATCAAAAAACACAATTCTTGAATTTTGATATGGCTGGGTGCTAAAAGTGTTCCAATATATGTAGAAACAACACATGCAAAATATTTTTCCAATACATGATGATTTATATGATTTATCTGTTTTTGTTGGATAAAGTGGTAAACAGTGCTCAATGGGCGCCATGGAGATCTGAGGTAAACAAGACTGCAGTTCAAGAAAACTGAGGTGATCTTTCTGTTTTTGTGTTGGGTATGTATTATTACATATTACTGTCATATCTGTAGTTGTGTCTTTGTATACTTAAGTCATATTTATAGGTATTTGGTGCTCATTACATCTAGCTAACGTTAGCTAGCAATAGTTTGCGAACCACAGTTAGCTATCTATGTTAGCTAAGCTATTAAGCTTAACATCAACAGTAGCAGCTATTCTAGAGTGGACAATGTCATATTCAGAGTATTGATGTCTCATGTTTATTGAGAGTAGCATTGTAGTTGTTACAGTAAATTAACATTTTAAAGTATATTTGCGAGCACAGCTAGCTACTCTGGTAGTAACGGTAAGTTATGTTGAAGTTAGACTATGTACAGCTAAAATTTGAGGCTTACTGTATGCAAGCATGGTTTATCATAATTGAGTGATATTAAGTATGCCAAGATATTATTTTAAACTCTATCCTTGTCCTTGTATTAAAATTAACATTTTAAAAACATAAGGTGTCTTTGCAAGCAAGCACGGCTAGCTCTCTGCGGTAGTGATGTAAAGAGTAGTTATCATTGTGTAATGATGAGTTGGATGATGTACAGCTAAAATACAGCATGGTTTATCATAATTGAGTGACTACTTCAAGCTATGCTAGAGCATATTGAATTTTATACACTATCCATGACTTGTTGTCGTTTTCATTCCCAGGCACTCGACAACACAACCCACCCCCAGGATCCAGCGCTCTCCGTAAGATGCTGCCCTCACCAACTGGTCGCGCTGGCAGACTAGCAGTCGCGACCAGCTGGTTTTGGTCTGGGGCCCAGCATCACACCAGTTGAGGATGGCATCATCACGCGGGCGCCAACAACTGCCAACTGGTCGGTCAGAGTCTTACCGCTGGAGTGCTTGCAAGGAACACCTGGGGCAAACGGAGCACTGTTCGCAGTTGAGCAACCAAGGTGTCCCGCTGGAGGCAGGTCGCCGGCCATTGTTCGATACAGAAGGCCAACATCCCATCGAGTGAGCGAGGACAAGGGCGTGACTGCCACAAGATGGTAAGACTTAGTCAATTGCGTAACAGACAACAAACTGCGCGGACAATTTCCAGAGCCAAGCGCTCCAGTAGAGACTCACAGCGAAACAATTGGAGAAAATGGAGTGCAGACTTGATGCCACATTCGCTGTGGCCTCGCAATAGATGTAAAGCCGGGATTGATAACCCAGAAGACCTAGCTGTCTTGGCACAGCATGAAGACCGACAGACGCTGCCACCGTTTGGTCTACTTGGACAAAAAAAGCTGCAGCTCAAAGGTGAGAGCGGCGAGAAGAACGTCCAAAGCTGCTGCAGCAGTCAGGCCAGTCCCGCTGTGAAAGGAGCTGAAGAGATGACGCAATCTCCAGCCTTGGTGTCGGAGAGTGATGAGGAGCAGAGGTGGATTACTAAACACAGATCCACTATCCAACATCTGAGGGCGAACCATCCCAGCGTGTGTGTGTGGAAGCGGCGAGAGGAGCGTCAAGTGCTGCAGCAGTCAGGCAGTCCCGCTGTGAAAAGGAGCTGGAGGAGATGACGGCAATCTCCCGGTGCTCCACATGACATCCTTAGCCACCAAGTGTTGTGTCACTGGCTACAAGGTTGAAATGTCACCAACGCTCCTGCACCTGCAGAATGTGCTGCAGGCAGTTGAACATGACCGCAGCCAACAGCCAAACCTTCGCCGCTGCAAACGCAAGGTAATCGTAAGCTAATCGCAAGCTTGCAAAAGGACGGTTACTCTTGGGTGGCGGGTGGGGAGACATATCTGGGGGGAGACGCACGGGCTAGGTTCAGAGTTCAGGTTCCATTTCCTCTCTCTTTCTCCCTGGTGACGTTGCTCAGTGGAGCGGACTCTGGCACATTGAGCTCCATTCATTTTGTCTATAGGACAAATGAATGGAGAATCTTGAAAGTTGAATTCTGAGAAATGCCCAAGTTGCCCAAAGGGCAAACAAACAACTTTTACTTTGATAACCCTATAGAACTTGTTACTGTATAAAAGTTCACTGTACTCAACATTTCCAGGTCAACCTTCTGGAAATAAGACTAAAAATTGAATTTTTTTTGTCTATTTTCACAAAAGTTCATGTCTTAGGTGGCACCCCTAAATCTCAATGGAATTCCTCAAAACTTTGAAAAAGTCATTTTTATGTTAATTGGAACACAATAGCCAAATAGATATTTTGAAATTAAAATGTCCCATTCAAATTTGATGCAATGCACTAGAACTCAAAAATGTAAGGTTTTTGTAAGGTTTTTGTTTTAATATGGTGGCAAACAACTGGTGCTTTAAGGAGATACAAGCTAGCAAAGCAGGCTATTGGCATGCAGCCACCAGCAGACAGTGACCACAGAGCTCACACGTTGTCTGGTCACAACATCCAGCCCACCACATTAATTATAGTGCTTGAATGTTATATTTAGCTACAATACAGCAGAGCACCAGAAACAAATATGTCAAGCATCAAAGGAGATTATTAGATTCATGTTGGATTGAGACATTATTATTACTGTAACAAATGTATGCATTTTGAAGCTTGGATGGATGGTTGTATTATCCATTATATATAAATCCATTTATTTATATATAACCGTTTGTCACATTCCTTTACCAATACTGCTCATAAAAAGACACCATGTATTAGACGCAGCAGACCATGATGAGACGTATCTAAGAGTAAAATGACTGGTAATCCGCAAACATTTTAACAGGCCATGTCAAGTCATTTCTCAGATGCCATTTTAATAATAATAATTTAGATTTTTATAGCGCCTTTCATGAGACGCAAGGTCGCTTTACAAGGAAGAACAGGAGTATAAACAAACATAACAAAAAGGCAGTCAGACGAACAGTATATGTTCACTGTTATATGCAATATTTAGAGGTTCTTAAAGTGTTGTCTTAATAAATTGAATGAATTCACCCAAGAATATGATATACCATTTTTTTTCACCTTGTTGTGATAATCAGGAAGATACTAGACATATTAATCAATAATGACAATAACTTCAAGCTGCAGGCCTACACAGAACATTTTGCAAATCAAAGTATATGATACAAACTTAAATGCAATGTAGCTCTTGGAATATGGACATCACAGACAGTATAAATCCCAGCAGAGTAAAAATACCATAGATTACTTCCTGTAATCATTCCTCTGAGAGGCATGATGCTATAATGCTGCTGGTTTTGCCATACACTGGCTGATGACTAATCAACACAAAGAGTAAATAGTGTCGTTAACATTTGAAATGTCATGACTTCATCCATGAAGCTTCCAAAGCTCTGTCTTAATGGCCAAGGGTAGAAAACCACAAAAGTACTTTCAACTGCAGCTACTTTCTCTTAAGAACGACACATTGAGACATAATCCCCTGAACATAAAGGAAAGATTCATCTAAAATGTGAATCTGTTTTGTTCCTAACCATTTACAAAGTAAGTTAAACAGCTTTACGGCTGTCTATGGAAACAAACCATCATTTTCACAATCTGTCCAGAGTCATTCTTGTAGTTTAGCAAAGCTCATTTCTGTCTTTGTGACCGGGCCTCTGAGTGTGAACCCCTTCAGCCCCGGCCTCCTGCCCAGGTCTCAGGTGGCCCACCAGCTCTGTGTCTGGGCTATTCCAGGAATGCATGCCACTAAGTGGGTCATAATCACAGGGGAAATCGGCAGCTTATGTAGGACATGATGGCTTGTTCATTGAAAGTAATGTGTTTCTTAGTCTGTTGAATGCAGAGACTCAAGTATGAAGTGCTATGGAAAAGGTATGTACACCAATTGTTCATTTGAAGACACGGAAGGTTACTTCCTCACAATTTTTAGACTATAAATGCACTAATGTGGTAAAATGCACTACAATAAAACCCAATTGCTTCCCAATACATTGTAATGAGGTTACTTAAAGTACATCAAGCCTGACAAAAAATAAATATTTATCACAAAGTTAATATATATAAGGGCCAACAGACATTTGGATGGAACTGTTACATCAACTCTTTGTGATGATCTCTTCAAATAAACTTTCAACATAATAATTTTTTAAGACTTTCAAGTTGTTACTCACATAGATGAGGCCAGAGTAGTAGCGGTCTTTGAGGTTGTGAAGAACAGAGGCTTCGTTCAGGCAGGTGAGTTCGGCCATGTCCTCCACCTTGCTGAACTTTGGCGGGTTCATCTTTTGAATGTCGTCCTTGTTGACCACCGCCTTCTTCCCATTCTCTGCCAGCTCCACCACCACCTCATCTCCACGCTCCTCGCGAACACTGGCTGCCTCGAAGCCGTTGCGTTCTGATGGGATCCATACTAGCCTCTTGGCCGTCCAGTCGGCCTGTGCAGCCGGGTTGTAGACCACGGCGCGGTCCACAAAGAGGTACCGCTCCGGGTCCTCCTGCCCACTCCTCTGTGCCATCTCTGCTGGAAACCAGGAGCAGAACACGCTATGCCACCTGTAGGAAGGAGAACAAGTATGTTTGTCTGGCCAGCAGAAAAAAAGTGACAATACAAATCCATGCAGCTGCTAACTGTCACACAGTTCACTTTATAGAGCTTAAATAAGATTACCAGTGTTCCTACAAACAATCCTTTTAAAAATACTTCTTCATTGAAGACAACAAAGTCAAATAAGTATTAGATTAATGTCTTTATTTAAAAAATGACAGAAAAATCCTATTTTGACAAAATAATTTACCACAATAGCTAAAGAAAAGCAAAGCTATTGTGGACCTTTAGTAAAACAGGTACACCTAAATCTCGGATTGTTGATTTAAATGTTGTTATATCGTTTATCTTTCATATGGTGGTAGCCCTACCACTAAAATGTATCCCATTTCAGATAAAACATCTACTCAACCAAGTTGCATTCTATACAGCTGAATGTTAAAGCTAATGGTTAAGTGAAAAGGGTGATGCAGCTTCTCTAACAGCTTCTAAATGCTGGCTCCAAGAAAACTCACTAGTTTTTCATTTGAACAAAATCTTTCCAATAACAAAATATATATTACTTTCAAAAGAAGTAACACTTTCAAAAGCTAGTCCATTATTTACCTTTGGGAACATTTTGAAAAAACAGGTTAGTAAGTATATTTCAAGCCATGTCTGATTAAATGTCAAGTGTCAAAGCTTTTCAAAGTGACTCATGGTAGTTGCTGATTTCCTGTTAACACTCTGCGGGAAATGATGGTTAACCTTATATAAAAGTACTGCTGGTATTTGGGTGATTAAAAAAATATGACATCCCAACTGTGTACCTGTCTGTTAATAAACACTAAGTGTATCGTGCATTGAATGAATTGGATGAAGAAAATGAAAAGATGACTACTGTAAATATGTCAATCTGTCAGCAGTTAATGTATAGCCTTCTTAATAATCATCTTATAAACAGTGACAGAATAAGCATGAGGAAGCACCTGTTATCGTAGTCTTTTGTAAAGAAAACATATTTCTACAGATCAAATTAGAGGATTTTAAACCAAATAAAAATGGATTGTGATTGTGTGTGTTCTTTATTTAGGTTGCATTAATTTGCAGTCTTTCTTTAGCTTAAAGGCTTTTCAATTGTTTTAGAAGGACTTATTTGGCCCACACAGACACGTGCAGAAGCCTTTACCCATCCATCCCAGTGCATAACCAACCCACATGCACTCACCATTTTAGCCAAGGCAAACCGTCAGTGTGTTATGCAACAAAAAATAAGGCGTTAATGTGAGTGGTAACTATAAAGAGCATTCTGACTTTTAACAGGGCATGCACTTATCTTTAAAAATAGTCTGCAACTCAATTAATATTAAAATGTTTTGAAAATATCTCCAAAAAAACAGTGAGGGATACTTTTCTGACATGGACCAAAGGAGTAATCGAGAAAATACTAAAATTGGATTAAATATAATTTAATAAGACTGGTAAGTGGTTTTATCCTTACATACATTCAATGGAATAAACACCTACATCATCAATAATAAAAGCAAACACTTCCACAAACTGAGCTATAAAAAGAACAGAAGAGAGTACCTTAGTCAAACCTGGCACTTGATGCCTTCAACAGCTGATACAATGGCATGTCTGAATGTTACCCATTGACTGAAAGCACCACTTCGGCTTGTTTCTTAATAATCTGAGACAACATCAGCTGATTAATGCTGAGAGGAGTTATTTAACCTACAATCATGTCCCATGCTTAAAGCAGGCGCTGATTAGACCAGAATCTGGGTCAGGTCAAGGGACAGGGGATCAGAGAGTCTGCTGGCAGCAGTGTCACTGCATCCCCTTACTTCTACTTGGAAAACACTTACTTTCATCCCTTATTCAGCTCTGGGCCAGGGGAGTATAAAGCACACCACGCCCAGGTTGGTTATCTTAGTAGAGGAGGGTCAATCAATTGCCATAAACTGTGCAAATAGTTTGTTAAAGGATTGATATAAACCGTCTGGGCCCCCACCGCTGCATCGGCTAGGTTAGCTTGCTAGCTCAAAGTTGGCGTGCTGTGCTCCATATCCCACCCGCTCTACATGATGCCTGCAAGGACAGCTCTGATAAACACCAACAAAGCACAACTCGGGATCCTATATGGGTGATTTTACGAGTTTAATAAATAACAAGGTGAACAAAAATCCCAAAAAGCAAAATGTGCAAATTAGAGTTTTAGGGATGAGACACAATCCCTTCATGGGTGTGGGTGTCTCAAAGCCGCCTGTCTGGGTGGGGATAAAAGCAAGCCGACAATGACCACACAGTTTCATGGTAACTTATAAAACAATACACGTCTAAATACAGATTCCTGCATCACTCATGTTCATTCAACACTATATCCGAGTGAAACAGAAAGCACGTTTGTTGTGCGGCGCCCCGGCTAACACTAGCAAAACTGATGGTCCTCCATCATTGAAAAGTCATGGCACAATAATCCGCTAGCTAACGGTTACTGTTGCTAACCAACTATCATCCTCACTACCACGAGCTGAGGCCCCGTGTCTCTGCTGAACTCACCACACTCAGTAGATAAAGAAACCCTGCTCAGGTGTTCAGTAGTTATCCAGTAGATTAAAGTAATAGTCCTCCAAATGCGTGCTGAATTAGTCCCTTCTTTCGCCCGCTCTCTCATCAGTGGTACTCCCCCACCATCCAGCACCCTCTCAACCAAACTCTCGCTGGCCAGCAGGGAGGTGGCACCGCACCGCACTCTTTTTTTGGACACACCCTCACTACAATTCTGGAATGTGATTGGTTGTTGGAGTATGATGCCTGACCGTGATTGGTCCAAAATAATTTCTATCCCAAAACTTTGATAGTTGACGAATACCGCCCAAGAGATCAACACCTGCAGACCGGTGGATGCTGCTGCAGCTTTACGTGGTTGAAGGACATTCAAATTGTCACTGTGCATTATCATATATTCATTTTGTTTTAGGTATTGCACACTCATACCTGGTGTGAGCTACAGAGTCGCATTAAAATACTAAATTATTTTATATGCATGGAAGATTTTAAAAACAATTCTTATTCTTCTGAATTCTCTGTAACTGAAAACTGCTTGTTCATTGATGAACGTAATTTGTCATCGTTTGGACCTTATATTTTGTTTATTTGTTTTCTGCTGTTAATTTATCTGGACTCCCCATGTCAAATAAATTCAAAATCTCAATGGCAATATTCCTTAAGAAAGGATTCATAAATTACAAAATAAAAGTCTATTGTTGATTAGAGACATGTCAATATAAAATAGAACCATATGATTAAATAAATGACTGGTTTATTGAACCATTGAAAATATACACCTGATCTTATTTTAATGCTTTTTTAATCCTGCAGTTTTTGCCTAGTGCATTTTCATCCTCCCTTTAATATATTCCCATTATCTATATCTGTATACCTTATTCAGATGTATGGTTATGCTTTGCTCATCAGCAACACATTTAATTGTGTTGAAATAGTGCCCTCTGCTGCGTAAAGACAGACATTACCAATACTGACCATGTGCCTCCATGTAAAATAGTCTATTGATAATGAATAACTGTAGAAAAAACCCATAACATATTCAAAAATAATCTAAAATGTACAAGTGTACAGATAACTGCTTGTTTTTCTGGCAATACAATACAAAAGATGTGTCCAGTTTTCACTGTTAAGCAACTTTTTTTTTTAAAGGGGACCTATTATGCAAAATCCACTTTTCATGTATTTTCTACATAACCATGTGTCCCCTCTGTGTAAAGAGATTCTGAAAGTTTCAGGAAAAAAGATTTGCTCCCTTTTTGTCCTGTCCATTTATATAAAAACCTGTCTGAAAATGAGCTGCTCAGATTTTGGCCACTTTATGATGTCATAACGTTTTTTGGCTTGTGTAACCATTAGCCAATAACCAACCAAGGCAACCCCTGAAATTGACGTATGCTGTTGTTAATCCATTTCAGCTAGATTCAGCACATATGAAGTAGAACATCTAGCTAACATTACAAAGAGAAAAATGGGCTTCCACTTTTCAGCTGGACAGTGAAAATGGCAACTTCCACATCTTAGATTAGCCTAAAACCTTTTTATCCTACAACCTTTTTTGTTAAAGCACTCATGATATACCACTTCACCTTAAATGCCCCTCTCCCAAAAATGATTTGACTGCCCAATAATTCTTCATGGTATTTGACATGCGGCAGACAGTAGAGGGCAGCAGCAGCTTGACAGACAGCTGAAGTAACAGGAAAACCAATTACTCATGATGTATGACATACACTGTATTTGACACAATAAAACTATAATTCACTTTTAAAACTCCATCAAGCTGATTTCTCCCAGAAGCACAGAGGTGTTTAGTAACTGGTTGTATATTAATTCCATTTGTTCTCATACTCTTACTCTATGTTGACTTATAGTATCACGAAATAATAGACTGGGTATGTTTCTTTGTACATCTTTATGTCACATAGTGAGCACTGGCATATCTTGAGTGGCAGATGCAAGATGTCTGAGAGAGTTTCTTCCTCCCGTCTTGAGTGACAGAGTGACACCCTTTGGTGTGGTGCATTTAGCAAAAATGCTGACAGCTCTGTCTCTCAATTGTTGGCTTCTCCAGTCGCCTCTGTGGCATAATAGACCTGTCATCCGCATCGTCCTCCACCATCGCTCTCATGCTTTTGTCTGGACAGCAGTTTATCAAATATCTCCATCTTCCCTTTTTTTTTCTTTTTCGCAAGCACAGATAAGAAATGTCAAAAGTGGCGCTTTCAATACCAAATTGCCAGATTGGATAGAGATAAATGTTTGACCTCCTTTGGAACTTTCTTCGGTTTTCTGAACAAATATAGATTGATGTGCTCGCTTTCAGTTTGCTAGCTTCACAAATCTCCATCTTAATAGCCATTTTGTCCATCATTCAGTTATGAAAATGTTATTCCCAGTAGAAGGGTGAAATGATTTCCTTTTTCTGATGGTATTTCTTATTTGCTTATTTCTATTGGATAGGTGAACTATAGTATGAACTCACTTTCAGATACTTTCATTCCTTTCAAGACTCATTACACTCCAGAAGGGTCAGAGCTACCACTGAGGACAGTGAGGTCATGAACTATTTTCCAAGGAATTTGGGCTTTAAAGCATCCTGGTTTGCATTTTAGTTACACATCACTGACAGTAATAGTATATATATTTGTGTGTTAGCTGTAACCATGTGGGATGAAGCTTTATTGACCAAAATTAAGGAGAGATTAGAGACTGGACTTCTGCGAACATTTTTTATAGGCTGTTTTTAATTGGATTCATGACCTACAGTATTTGATCTGATGTATTTGTGAGTGTGATAGGCGTTATGAAATGTTATTAATGTTCGTTGATTGTTATGTGTGTAGGGACTGCAGATTAAATGAGCTACAATCTGGCATCTAGCATCTCTTCTCTTTATGAGATGTATTTTTTATGCTTGGTCCTTTTTCAATAAAGATAATACTTTACTCTACCTTAGTATTTCCAAAAATTGACAGTCAAAATTGCTTGTAAATAATTAGATCTTTCAAAGGTAACATTTTATTCTGAAAATAGTATTGACAGTGGGAATTGATACAACATGAAGGAATTAAAACAACAGATAAACATTGTGGTGTAAGGAGATGGTGCATTGATGGTAATGATGACAATGTGATCTATTTATTCTCCGTAGTTCATCCTCAGCTTCCTTTTTAGTGTCTCCTGCAATGTCCACTGAGTATTATGGAGAAGCACCACCTTCTAACACACATCTTTCTATTTCTGAGCGTGTGCCCTCTGACCATTGCAGCTGCACCTCTTCAGCACAAGCATCCGTAACCCCACCTCCCAATTAAAAAGGGCTTTTTTTGGCATGGCATGTTTATGGTGCCAAGTCCTATGAGGGAATATAGCGGATAGAGAAAAGGAATACAACAAAGGGAGATATTATAAGAAGCATTTGAATGATTATTGGTTTTATAACATTAGCCTTGTATCTGTTACAAAAATTGTCGATGGAATAACGAAGGAATTAATAAGATGGCTAGAGTCACAAAATAGGTATACTTTAGTGCTTTTATTTACAGTAAAAAACTCTGAAAAAACAAAGTTACAAGGATGTCCAGTCCAAAATAGAAAGAAGAAATAAACATTAATATATATACAGCTCTCAGAAATGTAAACAGGTACCTCTCTGCTCTACAGCCAAGACTCACCCAAAATCACTTGTGGCCAGAGGTTTATATTTGTTAAGCCCGTCCCCATAGGCCAATCAACTATAAACTTAATTATTGTAATTCTAAATAACTACAAATGTCTTCAAAATGTATTTCAAAAATAATTAAACACCATTAATCAAATAAGTCAACATATACTACTATCTCTGACCACTGAAGCCCTAAACAATTACATTTGTAATACCTAGAAAATACTGTCACCCATGCCCATGCACTACATGGTACGGTCCAATTGAGCACAGCTGTTTCAATGATTGAGCCTCTACTTAAGGCAGTAGTTATCTCTTTTTCTGTTTTTTTTAACTCCACAACTGTGAAGGAGAGGGTAAGCAGGTTACTTTGGCACACTGGAAAGCATTGATATGTGAAGTATGATTTAAAATAAAACTGTCTTGAATAAAATAATGATTTTAGTTATTATTTTACAAATTTCCAGCAAACATATCAATTTACAAGTTATTGCAGTGCGTGCACTCACCACGTGTTTTCTATGAGTTTCCCCGAGTGTGCCTTTTACCATGCCCCTATGCAAATAGTGACGAGGTCTTCATCACAGTATCCTAACAAAGTTTCCCTAGTTTAATTATACAAACGTGATTTAAGAAGCTGCGTGTACGGTCATTCTATACACTACACATTCAAATGTAATCTACCCTTCTAATCAAGGGGAGTTTTATGTTTGTCCACAGGTTATATGCTGCCTGATTGTGTTGCCTCGTTGCAAATGTTGCAATCTTTCTGTCGTAGCTCAGCAGAAGGGGTGAGGATACATTTTTCATAATATGGCAGTCATAACGTTTTCAAACCTTTATTTGGAAAACGTAACGTTGGTTGGGCAAACACCAGTTTTTATGTCAATATGCTGTTTAATAGACATGAAGACTAGTGAAACAGAAACCTGAAAATAAATAAGGTGCACACTGCAGTGGAACCAATCGGGCAGAAAGAAAGAAAATATGTTCCTAAAGTTACATTGAGGTTTGATTTTTTTTTTTTTTAATGCAATTTCACAAAACCTCTGCATGAACACAGTCTGGTGTCTGGCTCCAGTTCATGGTTCCAGTCACTGGAGCATGTTAAATAGACTGCCAGAGCTACAAAGATTAGATATAAAATGGCAATTTTCCAACCATGTGTGTTCAGTACCAGTAGGAATGACATTGCTCAGACATGGGGCCGACCAACTTTATCATACAGAAAGTAGCGGTGAGTATCACAAGTTAATGCACCTGAGGGCACCCCAGGAAGGTAAATTACATTTCGGGGCCTCAGAGGGGAGGCAGCATGACATCGCCATAATCAAGAGATAAGCAGTAAACTGGAGAAATAATATTAGTTTTACAAGTAAGGAGAAAGCGGCTTTTACTTCTGTAACAAACAAGGTTTTTCACTTGATATTACAATGTATTTTTAGGCCAGATGCAAAGATACTTAGATTATG